TCATGGACAATGTTGCGGCAGAGGCCCATGTCAACTGACGTGGGCACACGTTCCAGATCCCTCATGACCAAGGTCCAATCGCTGGGAAGTTGGGCCGAGAACAACCTAGTCTCCCTCAGGGCCAAACACATATCAGGAGAAGCAAATCAGCAGGTGGACTCCCTGAGCAGGGCAACAGTAGACCACTCAGAGTGGAGCCTGGACCCGGCTCTCTTCAGGGAAGCATCGGAGAGGTTTGGCCATCCAATGATGGACCTATTCACCAGTCCCAAGAATGCCCAGCTCCCGAGGTTCTTCTCCCGCTTCCCGTCACCAGGGGCGGAGAGAGCGGATGTGCTCCGGGGACATTGGCCAAGGGGGCTGCTGTATGCCTTCCCCCCTCTTCCTCTGATGCAAGCAACCATCAGAAAAATATTGCAGGAACAGGCAGAGGTGATACTTATTGCAGCACACTGGCCAAGATGGCTGTGGTTTGCCGACCTCATCAGTCTTTCTATATCTCCTCTGTGGAGGATTCTCCACGACCGAATCTCCCTCAGCCAGGGGGCTCTACAACATGCAGAACTCAGTGGCTCCAACTAGCTGCTTGGCACTTGAACAGAACCTCCTAGAAGGAGAGGCTTATTCTCTAAACGTCATTAACATGATCCAGGCCTCAAGAAGGCCTACAACTAACAGAATTTACGACTCCACGTGGAGAAATTACTGCAGCTGGTGCGCAAGGCAGCATCTAGGCCACAGGTCGGCAACCTGCGGCTCCGGAGCCGCATGCGGCTCTTTGAGCCTTCTCCAGTGGCTCCCAGCCTCCTCTGCCTTTGCAGAGAGAGACAGAGACAGAGAAAGGCAATTGCGCTTCCCTGCTTCCTTCTCTCTCTCTCTCTCTCTCTCTCTCTCTCTCTCTCTCTCTCTCTCTCCCTCCCTCTCCCTCTCTCTCTCTCTCTGTGTGTGTGTAAAAGATTGCACTCACAGTGTTCTCCGAGGAGCTGAAAAGCTTTCTGGACGGAGCTCCTCCCTTTGCTGCGTCTCTGCAGGAAGCAAGAAGCAGGAAGGGCAGGAGAGAGCTAGCTAGCCCAGCTAGGCTGACTCAGGAATTCAGGGAGTTGAAGTCCATGAGTCATAAAAGAGACGAGGTTGCTTACCCTGAGCTTGTTGGACAACAGCTTGAAGCTTGCCAGGTGAGCAGCAGATAGGAGAGAGAGAGAGAAAGAGAGAGAGAGGGAGGGAGGGAGAGAGAGAGAGAGAGAGAGAGGGGGGGGAAGAGAGAGAGAGAAAGAAAGAGAGTGGGGGAAGAGGAGTGGCAGGCAGACCAAGAGCAGATAGGGAGGGAGAGAGAGAGACAGAGAGAGAGAGAGAGACCCTTTTGACATCTAAAATGAAGATAACACTGCATATATCCTTTTTTTACCTGTATGTGTATGTGTATATATGTGTGTGTGTGTGTGTGTGTGTGTGTATACATATACACGCACACACATATATACACACACACAAACACACACACACAAACACACACACACACCTATAATAAAGGTAAAAAAGGATATATGCAGTGTTATCTTCATTTTAGATATCAAAAGGATTTTGCGGCTCCCGGTGTTTTGTTTTTGGTGGGAAACGGGTCCAAGTGGCTCTTTGAGTGTTTTGGGTTGCCTACCCTTGATCTAGACCCTTTTAAAATTGCTATTCCAAGGGTCTTAGACTACCTGTGGGAGGGACTTAAGAGGGGTTTAGCACCCAACACAATTCACAGACAGGTGGCTGCCCTGCCCACTATACTCACATATGGCAACTCTGAACCACTGGCCAAACACCCAGTGGTGCGATCCTTCATGAAGGGCGCAACAAACAACAGGCCATCCATGGTCCACAGATATCCCTCCTGAGATCTGTCCAAGGTCCTATAGGCCGTCACCTCATCTCCATTTGAACCTATCCGAACCTGCACCTTACAGTACCTGATACTTAAGGTCGCATTTCTGGTGGCCGTTACCTTGGCTAGATGCATTTCAGAGTTGGCAGCACTTTCAGTTAAGAAAGATCTCTTCATTTTCCACACAGATAAGGTGGTCCTACATCTGGATCCTTCCTTCATTCCCAAGGTTAATTCCCTATTCCACAGGACACAGGAGGTGGTGCTACCAGATTTTTGCCCTCAGCCCTCCCATGAATTGGAGCGCAAATGGCACACCTTAGACGTTCACAGGGCCTTAAGGCAATACATAAAGCGAACTGCACCCTTCCGCAAATCTGAGGCCCTGTTCGTATCCTTCCATTCGAACTCAAGGGGTCGAAGGGTCACAGCATCCACAATCGGCAGATGGATCAGGAATTGCATAGCAGAAGCATACCAAAGGCAATCGGTCTCAGTTCCTAAACAAGTCACTGCCCATTCCACTCGCAGCGCTGCAACATCAGCAGCGTGAGTGACTCAGGCATCGATTGAGGAAATATGTAGGGCAGTGACGTGGGCGTCGCCTTCCCCTTTTATAAGGCATTACAAGTTAGATAGGTTCGCATTGGCGGAGGCCTCATTTGGCAGGAGGGTCCTCCAATGCATAGTGTCAGAGAGTGGGACACAGGCCCAACGGCTTCCCACCCACAGGGACAGTGAGGCTTTGGTATGTCCCATTGGTGGCTTCTCCACTCGTCATGTTGGAGAAGAGGTGTTGTCTTACCTGAACACCTTTTCTCAGCATGATGGAGAATCCACTCCCACCCTTAGGGCCAGTCAGGTCCTGTGCTGGGAAAGGATTGAGCTAACACACTTGAATCATAGCCAGCAGCTGTGCCTCAGTTGAGACTGGGGGAATGGCCCCAGGGAGAGGGGCGTGGCAAATTGGCTGACTTAGTCTATACGGGCAGAAGACAAGCAAAACCCATTGGTCGATTCTCCATCGTCATGCTGAGAAAAGGCGTTCAGGTAAGACCATACCCCATTTAGTGGAGTCTGCTTTATTATGAAACTGTTACACTATTGGGTAGAGTTGAAAATTGTATTGATGAAATTTCTTGAATTATGAAATTCTTTGAAATTGATTACAGGAGATAGTTTTCTGTGAGTTGGTTCATAGTTAGCAATGGTAATTTGCAGCAAAATTACACTATCTTTTGCAAATCGTGAATTTAATCCCTGTTTAATTATGTAATATAAGTTTCTAATGTCTAAGTCACTTTAAAAATGCTAATTTGTTTGAGGGTTTTACTTTCAACAATCTCATAGATACATATCCTACTAAATATAGATTATATACTTTGTAGTCCTTAACTTAAAACCACAGTTGAGTCCTAAATTTCTGTTGCTACATGAAACAGTTGAGTTTTGCCCCATTTTACTACCTTTCTTGCCAAAGTTGTTAAGTGAATCATTGTAGTTGTTAAGTAAGTTAGTAACATGGTTATTAAATGAATCTGTCTTCCCCATTTGCTTGTCAGAAGGTTGCAAAAGATAATTGCATGAACCCGGGACATTGTAACCATCATAAATATCAACCAGTTACCAAGTATCTTAAATAAATTATGTAAGATCTCTTGAGAAACTGAAAAATCTCTTTTTTGCACAGATAGATCATTTATATTTGTGGTATTAGAGTTCATGTCTGATGAAGTGGGGGAAAGGGATTTGTTTTAAAAATGAATCTTGGAATTATTTTTTTTTACTTTGAGAGGGAATAACTTAGTTTCTATGTTATAAGGAGAGAGACTTAGACATGGTCCTTATTAATATTATAAAATATTTAAACTTTTCAATATATTGATTACTAGATGTGGTGTTTGAGCTTTAAGTTCTGCAAGAGTTTCTGTTTAAATCTCTTTTCCCAAAGATGCATTTTTTAGGAGGCAGCTGGACTTTCTTATGTTTCTTTTGAAGACATTTCGCTTCTCATCCAAGAAGCTTCTTCATCTTTGACTAGATCAGTGATGGCGAACCTTTTAGAGACCAAGTGCCCAAACTGCAACCCAAAACCCACTTATGTATCGTCGGGTGCTGGGTGGGCGTGGCCCATTGGGTGGGTGTGGCTGCGGTGGTAAAGGCAGACTGTGTGGGACTAAAAAATTCAATCAATCAATTCCAACTTTGCGAGATATTTTTTTTCTCCGCGAGAAGTTGAAATTGATTGATTGAACCTTTTTTTTTTTTTTTGCACACGGCGATGGAGGCTTAAAACGAAAAGATTTGATAAAACTCAGCTGAAGGCCTAGAACTGGGTCGACAGTGCGCGTGCCCATAGAGAGGGCTCTGCGTGCCACCTGTGGCACGCGTGCCATAGGTTCGCCACCACTGGACTTGATGGTGGAGAGTGAGCAGACATAAATCCTTCTACTTTCCACCATCCAGCCAGAGCTGAAGAAGCTTCTAGGATGAGAAGTGAAACATCTTCAAAAGAAACACAAGAAAGTCCAGTTGCCTCCTGAAAAAAGCACTTTGGGACAATCATACCTGGATGACTGAGAACCTCCACAGATATTAAGTCTGTTTTGTTATTTCTCTGTTACATTGCAGAAAATGAGCATCAGCCTTTGCTCTGCTTTCCCCATTCTTCACACATCTTTATTTTTTGTTTTTTTGCCAAGTATCTTCTTCTCACAACATTTGTCTTGGGAAAAACTTTACAATGGTCTGTTGCTTTTAAAGCTGCTTTTTAGAATGCCTGTCCGCACATATTTATGTTATTTATTTGTGGTTTTAGAGGGGTGGGTAAATTTTTTTTCCAGACTTTTAACTTGAAGATATTTTGAATTAGCGGAACAGTCAAAAATTTAGGTCAAACCTTTGCTGTATATTTTCTGGATTCACCCTTTTCCCTTCCCACCAAATGCAACTTATATCCTCATGTGAAAATACCTAATGAAGATTTTTATTTCTCCAAAATTGTCCTAAATTTAAGGACAAGTATTATATTTTACTGTCCTAAAAGGAAACATTCCCCAAATTTAGGCTTTTTTTCTATTTGATAAAACAGGATATTGCTTTTATAAAAATAGTATGCTTTTTTTTTTAGGAACACCATTTGCAAAGAGCAATCTCAGCACAGCAAGTCTTCAGAGAAAAGAAAGAGAATATGGTTATTCCAGTTCCTGAAGCAGAAAGTAATGTCAACTATTACAGTCGTCTGTACAAAGGAGAATTTAAACAGCCAAAGCAGTTCATTCATATTCAACGTAGGTTCAGCATTAACTACTGTTTGTTTATTTTTTTTAATTGCCTGTCAAAACCACAGAATGGGAAGGAAGGTATTTTCAGAGAGATTTGGGTGTTTGTCTTGAAGAGAAGGAAGTTATTATTAAATTCACATTGTAAAGGAACAATCGGTTTTCTTATTTTTGTGGACTAAAGTACTTATACATCAAATTTCTAAATTTTATGTTCTGATATTCAGAAAATTGGTTTGTCTTACTGATAACTGGCCTGATCCCAAAAGAAGTGTAAGATAACCTGCTTAAATTTAAGGTCTTTCTGCAGGTTTCCTGTTTGTTATGAGGCAAGTAGGAATTCTTTTAAAAAAAATTATCTGACTTCTAGTCTGTTCTCCTTTTAACACTTCTGAAGATCGTTCAGGTCTTTCATATCTTTAAAATTAGTTTTAATATTAACATTTCTGCTTTGCTATCATTTTTATATTATCCTATCCTATTACGTTTTGTTTTAAAAGAATCCAAAATACCAAGGTTCATGAATAGATATGTGAATGATGTGTGTACATATTAATGATGTGTAAAAACAGTATATTTCTTGTCTGCTTGTCTTTTATCATTTTTGCTGATATTAACTATCCATTTGGGAAAGATGGAAAGTCCAAAGCTAAATTTTAATTCTTAAATGGAGGGAAGCAAATACTGAGATTTAAACTCATTATTTCAAGAACGTAATTTGCATTCTTCTGCATTTGGAACTGTGCTTGTGTTTAGAAAATTTGATAAGAATAGATTTTATCATAATAGAAGTCTGGTGATTAAAATGTAACTTACTTATTCAGAGGCTTTCTCTCATTGACAAATATATGAATAGTTTTCATCAAAACTTTATTATGGCTTTCCAAGGAAATTCATGAATTGTCATTTTTTGATACCAGAGTAGCTAAATATTTTGCTGATTATGGAAGACAATTGTGTTTCTATGAGTTTATTTTTTACTCGAAAACATCTTTTAGCATTTTTAATGCAAAAATCATCCATTATATATTTATTTTTAGAGTGGAAACGGATAGAAAGCAGGTCTCTTTTTCTACAAAATTACTCCAGTGAACACAAGTTAATGTTTGAAATGCACATCTTTTGGGACATTTGTCTCTTAACAAACTTGTCTAATGGCTAGCTTTATGTTATTTTCTTTTGTTTTTCTAACTTCAAGATTGGTTTGACTAGTAGTTTATTGCAAAACACTGAATTTATAGACAAGTGAAAGGATTATATATGATGTGAAGGGCTAGTGTAATATAAACCTGTCTGAGAAAACCTATAGCTTGTTATAATAAATGAAATAAGATATAGCATATCTTCATAAAATTGAAACATCTTTGTTGTGTCATTCACATAGCAGACTACAAATGGAAAGCCCATTTTTTGTAATTCTGAGAAGAAATACAAAGGTGTATGGGCAAAAAAAAAATATTAGAAATTTAGGGAAGCAAATAAGACTGTCTGGGTTTTTTTTCCTTGATGCCTTGTTTGACTCCATTCCCCCTTCCATTGTAAAAGTTGGGTCATGAAATTCTTATTGCAAAAGGAACATGAAATAAGTTGAAATATTTTATTTGTAAATAAGAAAAAGCATTGTTATAAAAGTATTCATAGAGAATTAATGATTTGGCACTCTGTTTAATGAGAATTATTTCAATATTTTAAGCCTTAGAATAGGCTTACTTTTAAGCCCCCCCCCCCAAAAAAGTGAAAAAAAATCTGTAAACTCAAGGTCTCAACACTGGATGAGGTGAGTAACCCCCAGGCATTGAAAGGATATTATCTCTTGCTCTAAAGCAGTGGTTCTCAACCTTTTTAATGCTGCGACCCCCAACCGGTCATAAGTCGAGGACTAAACTGGTGCAGCACCGTTTACAGAATGGGACTTTTGGCGGGCTCAGCAGGGCAGAGACAGCCTGGACAATTCCTATTGGCTTTTGAAAGCCAATAGAATTAGACTCTATTCAAGAGAGTCTATTCTATTGGCTTTCAAAAGCCAATAGAATAAAAGGGCAGCTAAAGAAAAGGGGAAAAAAATGGCGGACTGCGTTGTTTGGCGACCCCCATGAAATGGTCGTTCGACCCCAAATGGGGTCCCGACCCACAGGTTGAGAATCACTGCTCTAAAGTTTAAATCATAGCCTAATAAACTTGTCAAATTTCTCTGCTGTCAAGATGCTCGCTATGCCAGAGAGGCCCTTCTCTGGTGTTGCCTAGCCTATGGCATACACTTCACAAGAAGTATTTGCTTTCAAATATCAGAAACTTTAGAAAAGAGGCTGAAATGTATCTGTTTCCCAAAGCCTTTGTTAATTTAATGAAAAGTATTTTAATTTTTTGTTTTTTATTTTAGTTGCATTGATTTCATTGTTGTTTTATATTCAAAAATTTTATAAAAATGAAGGCAGGATATAACTTTTTTTATTTAACTGTAATATGGGTGGCATTTAATTTAATGGATAGTATATACCAGTGGTGGCGAACCTATGGCACAGGTGCCAGAGGCGGAGCCCTCTCTGTGGGCACACGTGCCATTGCCCCAGCCTTGCCTCACCCCCGTGACCCCCTCCTCACCAGTAGCCCTCCTGGAGAAGAGTCACCCCCGAGCGTGGCCCACGCAGAGCAGTGCAGCCAAGGACATGGCAGCCAGGCAACGTAGACAAGACTCTGCCCTCATGCCCCATCACTCACAGTTGATGCTGCGGGGTGTGGGCAGAGGGCGTGGCTGCCATGGTGCTGCTGGACGATCTGCGGTGGACCCTGGAGGCGATGAGTGGCCCTGTGGGCAGGCGGGGTGGGGTGGAGCGGGAGCGGGGCAGGGGTGGAGCGGGGGCATGGCCAGTTTTTGGGCACTTGGTCTCTAAAAGGTTCACCATCACTGGTATATAATAATCAATACAAATTTTTAAAATTAATATTTCCTAAATACCAGTAAAGAAATGATAAGTAAAGTGATCATTATAAGAGTCATGGTTGAATTAAAATTGTGGTATGATTTTCTCTAATCTCTGTTGTAATTTATTGTGTGGCTTTGAAAATGTGTTTACAACAGTCTACTGACTTAGGGTATTAAGATCCAATATCTCACAACTTGGTTTGTTGTAAATGTTTTGCAACCTGTACTTTTTTTTCTTTGCATTAATCCTAATGATTCTTTTTTTTTTTTTTTTTAGTAAAATGCTATGTTGCCTTAGTTTCTTAATACTTATTTTTCTGCAAGTCAGGTGCTCTGGGGCTCTGACACATATAATCTTTCTTAACTTCTCTTCAGTGGTGAAGGGAATGGCTTGACCAGTAATAAAATATGTCTTTTGACTTGAATACTTGAACTAAATAGCCAATCTCCCCCCCCCAGCTCATATAACTCATTAGCATACTTATATACCATTAAAGCATGCCTTTTTAAATTAAAATATTTTTCTCTGTGTTTCAGCCTTTAATCTGGACAATGAACAACCTGATTATGATATGGACTCAGAAGATGAAACTTTATTAAATCGGCTTAATCGGAAGATGGAAATCAAACCACTGCAATTTGAAATTATGATAGACAGGCTTGAAAAAGCTAGTTCTAATCAGGTATCATGAATTCAACACCCTCACCCATCTCTTCATTATAGCAGTTGCAGATAAGATTGAATTTTTATAAGTTTTGCGGATGCCTTTATTTATAATGCATGAATAATTTCTTATTACTAGAAATGCTAAACATATATCCTTCATATTTTATAAAGAAATTAAGAAGAAATATTATGACATAAATTATTCAAGGAGTACTTGTATATATGCATTTGTCTGGGGAGTTTTCCTTTCTTTGCTGCTCTTTTTTTCCACTTTGTGTATATCTCTACCATAATATTTAGAGGCCTTGACTTGTGTGTGGAAATTGTTTCACTTTGAGAGCTATTTCCTATACCACATAGAAGCTGTTTCAGACAAGAGGGCAAGATGATTTTAGGCAGGTAGTGATTTAGTCTACTATGGCTATGCTCCAGTTGCAGCTGTGATGAATGCAGTGAGAAAGCAATGATTTCCATGAATGTTATATTTGAAGTATTGGGGGAACATTATTTTACCCATTATTTCCTTCATTGATTAATACATGTCCATTTCTCCAGTATGAACCATCCATATATCACTTAATCTCCAACTTCTGTATTCAAATTGTCTTGAATTACTTAAATTATTCCAGAATTCAGTGTCTTTTTAATTATTGTAAATAAGTTGATGTAGAAAAAGGCCCACATACCTTTTATGAAGCTAAACATTTTTTAGCTGTTACTCTACTTTAAAACATGAAACCTTTAGTAGATACATTAATCCTCAGCTTCTTGATATTGCCAAGTGGCAAGATTTCCCAGAAAAGCTGGGATCCTTATGTTGTAATTTGTGTAGAAAATGAGACCAGGTAACGTGAAAGGGAAAGGAGTGTGCTGAACTGATTGGCTTATTTGTATTAACATTGCTGTTGCCTTTTACAATATAGATATAGGTCTCCACTCTTCGGACTGGAAGTTATTTACTTTAATTCAATAGAAAGTCTACTAGTTCATAATAAAAAAATAATTCAAAATATCTGGAATATATATTTGCTTTTAAAAATACCAGAAAGAGAAAGGAATTGAGTTAGATTTTGTGTAATATTTTAATGCAGGATACAGTAAAATGTACATAGCTGTTATAAAGTGAGAAGTCTGGTCTTTCTGCTGTGAAGTGAATTTTTCATTAAATGAAATTTATATTTGAAAGAACAATTGTTTGTGGTTATGATGGTCAATAGATAAGATAAGAGAACCTTTATTGTCATTTTTATACTGTGGGCACAATGACACACATCAAAAATGAAATTTAGTTGCCTGCTCTCAAAGTGAAACATATACATGACGCACATCTAAACATACTATGAACAACATATGTATAGACCCACATCCCTACATATATGTAGCAATAAATATTAAATATTGTCCATCTTGAATATATAACGGAAGGAGGAAGCTTGAGAATTCGCAAGGTTAATGCTGTATGGAATGAAACTCTCAGATGCCTATCAGTACAAAAAAGAATCATAATTTTTCAAGGGTGGGTCTTGAAATTTTAATAGACCTTGCGGCATAAGATACCTAAAATCAACGAATCTGCCATTCGGAAATTGAGAACCAATTCATACAATTTATTTTTGCATGTAAGGCTGTGTCACCTTTCCGAATTCATGACCACCCTGAACTTCTGGGTGCTTAATTAAAAAAAAAAGGTAACAAAAATAAGCAGATCAAATTACTTTATTTTATCTAAGAAATATTGTCCTTGAAATAGATTACCAAGTTATCTTTAGAAACTTTTGAGGGAGAATGAATGTGAGTTATAATTCATATCGGCTCAGAAATCTGATTTTGGGAATAGATAAGTCTTTAGAAAGAAAGGTTAAGAGTTGCTAGGTAATTGGTTTGAAAGATTTTCTGAGTAAATTCCAATCTAAAGTTAATTACATTGAAGTCCCATTTAAATCAGTGATATAAATAGGTTGTAACTAACTGAAATCTCGTGTATTGTAAGGGGAATTAGAAAGGACTAATTTTAGTTCGATCAGAGTACATTGGGGGTTTCTTCCATTTTTGCCATAGCAGAAAAGCTTCCTAGAGACCGTTTCTCCTGCAGATTTATTTTTATTTCCACAACAGCGTAATTCATTCTTTCAGTGTGTTTTTTTCTGTATCTCAGTTTGAACACAATCTATTTATAAACATTGTGATTGTCTTTATAATCATTTTACATATAAGTAAAAAAGTTTTATCAGTCTAAATATTATAGCCTTAAATTGCAATAACACGCCTATATATAATGAAGGATTGACATTTCCAGTTTGTTTTTCCTTCAACAAAAAAGAGAAAATGATTTAGCTAAAAATAGATTTTAAAATAATCTGAACATTGCAGACTATTCTGTTTTGAAAGCGAAATAATATTAATTGAAGGGTTTGTGTATATAGATTAGAATTCAGGACAGATCTCATACTGATTAGAAGGCTGGAAGCATATTTGTTATAAATTCTAAGGCTTTCATACATGCATCATTTTTATGATATAAAATTCAAATGTACTTGCTAAGCTCCTAAGAATAAAATAAAAAAATATGCAATAACTCTTGAAAAACTTTCTTTGACATAGGGACAATTTAACACCTTAATTTAAATACTTGAGAAGCTGATGGATAAAATTACAGTTATTTGGTGCATATTTAAAATTGTAGACAAGTTACGTTTTAGTTCTTGATAATTTATACTCGTGTTGATGAGTGTAATTATATTGTATTCAGTTGTGTCATTCCAATGATTACAGTAGTATTTGCTACTAGAAGTATGACCAATTTTTTTTTAAAATTTGCCATGCGAGAACTGCGGAGGATGTATCTAGGGAATGTACGATATGCTATACATACATAAACACAGTTAACATAATACATTTCTCTTATTAGTTGTAAGTACATGAAGAAATTTTGGAGAAATGTATTATGTTAACTGTGTTTATATACATACAGTATTGTCTCTACATTTCTTCATACAAAATTCACATCTTGAATTTTTGTGAAGAACAGCTACTAAAATCTCTAATGTGATTGTTATAGAAATATATTTTTGTTTATTTTTCAGCTTGTAACACTTCAGGAAGCTAAATTGCTGCTAAATGAGGATGATTATCTTATTAAGGCTGTCTATGACTACTGGGTAAGGAAACGTAAGAACTGCCGAGGGCCATCCCTCATCCCCCAAATCAAACAAGAGAAAAGAGATGGTTCTACCAACAATGATCCCTATGTGGCTTTTCGGAGGAGAACTGAGAAAATGCAGACAAGAAAGGTAATTTTCTCAATTCAGCAGTTTTTCAATGTGTCGCTATTGAAGAATGGCCCCAAGTGTCTACATAGCAATGTGAAAAACTGACTACAAACTTTAGCAAGCATTTGGTTGCAATTTATTGCTGCTAAATGTGCTGCAACCGGTTACTGAATTTAGCGGGCATTTCCCCCCCAGAAAAGTTGCATGTGTGCTTTTTAAATGCTGCTTACACACTAAATTACTATCCATTTTGAGAACTTATCCCTTATTAGAAGACGTACAATCTAAATAAAAGTAAATAAATCATACAATATTCCCCAGAAAATAATTTACTGCTCTTAAAATGTGGGTTTTTTAAGGAGCTGCTATGAGAATTGAGTGTCCCTTTATCTAATTGTGGGACATGGGACATTTACCCTCATATTTTCCTGGTGGATCAGACTGCACATAAAACATTTATTTTATGGATCACAGACAACTTTATATCCAAACCACTATTTTACCTTTTCTTTGAAAGGCAAATGAATTCATTAAGGCATGTGTTAAATTATTATATGCATATACATTCAACAAGCACATACACATACGAATTTTAAGAACATGCATAGCAAACTTTAGTAGGCTGTTTAACATATGCTTTTGTTGAATGGAATTTGTGAGAAAGTGACACGAGAGGGCTTTATTGTGATAGCTGTGGGTGTTGGCATACCTAGGCCAACTTCTTTAATTGCCCAAATGTAAGATTGTGGAAACTCATGAGATATACTACATTATAGTACTAAAATACCTCTGTGTATTTATTGTATTGTCATGATTTTGGAGATATTTGGATTTGGATATGCGTGACTCGTTATAGGAATTCACAGGGTGCTTGGGATATTTAATTTTAAAGCAGAATTTTAAAAAATAGTTTCCTTTCTCAAATAAAATGGCAAGTAAGCGTATACACATGTCACAGAAATCCCTAGAGCTTGTGAAAGAAGATACACTAATACAAACAGACATAATATAAACAGACATAATTTAGTATTTATTTAGTACTTAAATTCACCAGACAAGTATTTTTTACATATTTGTTCATTAAAGATTGGATCTAAAAGTGTGTTCCGCAAAAAGAATATCTCTCTGAGGCAAGATGATTCTGGTGATTCCTCCCTCTCTTCTCAGACTGGCATTTCCAATTCTGCATGGTTTTTTATCCCTTGATTGTTCCAGAAGCTGCAATGAAGAATGACAGTTCGGCTTCAAATATTCTGGCTTAACCCCTCCAAATATTATTCAGTATTATTAAAAGCTATATAAAGTTAAGTTTAAACTTGGTCTGACTACATCTTCGAGATATATTTTTCATTCAGATACTTCTTTCTAACAGAATCGAAAAAATGATGAAGCCTCTTATGAGAAGATGCTGAAACTAAGACGAGAGTTCAGTAGAGCCATAACCATTTTAGAGATGATTAAGAGACGAGAGAAAACAAAACGAGAGTTACTACATTTGACATTAGAAGTTGTAGAGAAAAGGTAAAACTTTTTCCAAGTTAATCATTCTTGTCAAGAAAGATCATCTCGCATTCCAAATAGTATATGGGTGGTCCTCAACTTAAGACCAGTTGCTTAATGATTGTTCAAAATTACAAAGGATCGCCAGAGAGCTTCTAATGATCTGTTTTCAGAATTATGGTGGACACCCACAGCCTGCGGTCACATGATTACATTTTGAGGTTCTGGTTATTGGCTTGCCTTTATGGCCAGTTGCAGAATTTTGCAGTCATGTGACTGATTTGCTGTGTTTTTTTGTTATTTCTGGTGTTTACTTCTGGTTTCTGGCAAAAAACCCCACCCATTGAGGAAAATGATTCACGTAATGACTGCTGTATTCGCTTAACAAAGATAATAAAAATGGTCATAATTTCAAATTCAGGCAAATCTGTTATACCTCAATTTACAGTTATAATTCTAGGTCCAATTATTATCATAAATTGAGGATTATCTGTAGTATATTTAACTTGTTAAATGCAGTTGCTTTAATTAACAAATATAGCAGCTTGTGTAAAATATTATACCATCTTTCGTCAATTGTAAAATGATCTTAAGCAAAATAATATTTCTCATCTGCTATTCTGTCTTTTAAAAGAGGATCAGAACATATTGTAGGATTCGTGCAAAATAAAAACATTTTACAAAAAGATTAATTTATTGTGCTATCTCTATGTTCTATAAGCTCTCTCACTCTTTTAAAAGATATCATTTGGGTGATTATGGAGGAGAAATACTTAATGAAGTTAAGCTTAATTCAACTGAGAAAGAGATGAACACCACTCCTGCAGCACTTCATAATGGAAATCATCACAAAGTTCAAGAATGTAAAGTTAAGGTAGGTAAATGACTTTAGTGGTTATATTTATTGTTTAATTAGAGGGATGTTTCAGCTAGTTAATGTGGGAAGTATTAGAGGCTTTTCAAACATACAGTTAATGATTCTTTTCTCCTATAATGTTTATTTCCATTGGTGAAATCGAAGCAAAATAAAAATAAATTTAAATTGAGCATTCTGTACATTAGACAGTAAATAAACGCAATCAATTATATGATACTAGCTGTTTGAAAATCAACTTTAATTGATCTGGGAAACTGGCAGTTTTTGAATTTAGAGTGTTAACAACTTCAGATTCAGTATTGTTAATGCTAGTGCATAGTTTCTACTGTTTGTGCCAATCTCACTGATACCCTTGTAAAAATATCAGTGTATTTAAGCTTGCATATATAACCCATTACACAGCATTTTCACAACTTTATGCTAGACAGTTTTTCTTAATTGCATCTACTTATTCCTCAAAACCTGTACAATTGTTAGTGAAAGAGAAGGAAAGTTTTTTGTAACCAAAGATATTGGGATGGTAGAACAGACAATTTCCAGAGGATGGTATATTTTGTGGTGGGTCAGGGTATACGTATTAAGTTTCATATTTTTATTAACAGCACAGTATCTAAATGCCACAAAAATATACTGCTCACAAAAATAAAGGGAACACAAAAAGAAGACATCCTATAGGTTTGTGTTCCCTTTATTTTTGTGAGCAGTATATATTTTTGGGTGCTTGGAGGCTTTGGATTGCCCATCCTACATTAAACATATCTCTGACAGGATAATATTGCCTCTTACATTTTTCACACTAGTATTTTGATTTAGTTTTGCTTCTAAATATCTTGATCAATGCATCATTAGGATTCTTTAAAAATCATTAAAATATTATGTTTGTGACAATTTTATGATTATAAAAAAATTTCAATACATGTTAATTATTTGATGATCTATTTAACAATTTTAACAAAATCTAACACATTAGTCATATCCATGTAATAGTGGAATTGTACTTATTTCAGAGATTAATTGCCAGGCTTGCCAGCATTTAGGTTTCCATTATTTATAGGAAATATCATTACATTGTTTTTGAAAATTTCCAAATATTTTTTAAAATATTAGATTTGTTTAAATGTTGGTCTTTATTTTTTAACTTTGATGACATCTAGTGGTTATTAGATTATAGGCACTTATCACTCTTTATTTGGGCTATTCTTATTTTCCATGCTAAGCTCATCTAAATCTTAAAAATGTAATGTTGCTTTAGCTGTTTTTAAATTAAATTTGAAGTCAGGAGAAAGATCCTTTTGAAATGATCTTTTTCACTGGGGAGAAACATCACATACTAGACACAAATTCTTTAGAAATACTAAATGTTTAAAATGTTAGTTAAAATGATAGTTTAAAACGATACATAAGATAAATACAATAAATAATATATCTAAATCTTTGGATAATATATGCTCTGAGTACTACTTATTTGGAGTTTGTAAATATAACTGGGGGAACAATTGGAGAAAAAGTTATTTACTATCTCATGAAAATCAAGTAATGATTAACAATGTGGGGGTTTTGTCCAAAATTTACTGTATACAAACAGCATGCTCACCATTCATCTCTAAAAGAGGAAGTGTCTGATGTTGTCCGTCAAAAGAAGAAATATCCAAAGAAGCCTAAACTTGAGAGTGTAATAAATCCTCCGCAGTCTACTACTGAGCCCTTGCCTGTGATCAGTAAAAGTGATATCAAACAATATGACTTCCACAGTTCAGATGAAGATGAATTCCCCCAGGTAATACATGTCAGCCACATTATAAAGCAATTCTTTTTTATATGTAAGTGGAAAAATCCTGATTTATATTTGGATAGAAATGGGGGTGGGTTGAGGGAGAAGCAATGTGAATTTGAAAGGTTTTCTTTCTAAAATTAAAAAAAAAAAGGATTTGTGACTAAAGCTACATTTGGATAAAATATCATACATTATATTAACATTAATTTTGAATCCAAAGAAAGGTTAGGTTTGTGAAAATAAGTAAAACCTACCTAGCTGAGTGTTTGAAAATTCACTGGGATCTTTGGGTGTTTGATCTCTCTGAATGTAATACAAACTATTATCAAGAAGCCTTTTCAGAAGCTGTTGTTGAATTTCATTTTCACTTTTAAATTTCTATTTCCTGGGTTTAAATATGTTGAATTGCATAGCCAAGGAATGAAATATTCACCAGGAATGATAAACTAATTTTGTTTTTAAATTAGTTTTCTTTGGCTTCTAGGTATCCTCACCAATATCTGAGCCAGAAGAAGAAAATGATCCTGATGGAGCCTGTGCATTCAGAAGAAGAGCAGGATGCCAATATTATGCTGTAAGGATTTTTACTTTAAAAAAAATGATAATAATTTTGTAACACAAACTATTGATTTTTGGTCAAAAGAAAAACATATTTTTGATCTTTGTTAAAATTATCCTTCTTTCTCTACTTCCTTTTTACTCCAGGTATTTTAGAAGGATTTTTATTTAAGAATGAACTTGCTTCAGATCATGTTAGCTGTAGTATTGTTAGTGAAGGCTACTAAATTTGACAAGTTGTGAACCTGAAGATGTTGTTGAAGTATTTTAAGATACAGTATACTAGAGGACAAAATTGCTGGTTGCTTTTAATTATTGATACAGACTTAACTGAATTACAGGACTCTAATTGAATTATATCTTAGGCTGTATAGTATCAATGTGTGTGTGAGTTGGGCGGCTATATAAATTTGTTTAATAAAATAAAACAAATAGTTTTCCTAATGTTAATGGATCAGTGCAGCTAGTCATTCTTTCCCTGTAAGAATACTGTGTCTATTCTTGCATTGGGATGAAGTAGATGGTGTCCCAGATAAGGACCATGGGGCGCCTTGGAGAGAGACTGGGAGGTTCTATAGCAGAGCTTTTCAACCGGTGGTGTATATACCACCGGTGTTACATTGGCACCAGGCAGGTGATACGCGGCCCTGCCCAGCCTAGTCAAGTGTTGTGGGGGGAGAACGAGCTAAAGCGGCGCAGTGCAGGACTTGCCATGAGAGATTCCTCAGGAGCTGCAGGCTGCTAGGGTGAGGCAAAAGCCCCAGGATTGGTACTTCGGCTCACCCAGAAGAGAAAGGAGGAGGAGGGGGGTGGAGACAGGAGAGGCTATAAAAGAAGGCAGTTTGGGTAGGGGAGGGAGAAAAAAAATGCAGCCTTGGGAATGCTGGAGCTGCACCGAAGGAAAAAGGAGAAGGGGGGGAGAGAGGAGAGGAGATCAAACAGGCTGGCTGGGAGCCAGTCTACAACTTCTGTGGCCATCCGTACCAGGCAAGGATACAGGTGGCAGCGACAAACAGGCAAGAAACGCAGCGGGGGAGGGGGTTGCCCTCCATGAGGAATGAAGAAAGACACCATCAGTGGAGGGAGGGAGGAAGGAAGGAGATGGCAATGAGAAAGAGGGAGGTAGAGAGCAGGAGGGAGGGAGGGAAACAGGAAGGAAGAGTTGGAAGAAAAGGCTGGGGCCTTGCTTTCCAGCTGGGAGGCTATACCTTTAAGAAAAAAGAAAAAAAATGAAGCACTGCCATTTGAAATAGAGGAGAGGAAGCCAGCTGCGCGAGAGGACATGTTTATTGGCAGAACCGAAGTGCTGTTTCAGCAGTTTGGTTCTGGATCAGCTGAACAACAAACGGAGAGTGGAAGGATTCTTATGTGATTTTGTGACTTTGAAGTTCTGGGATTTGTGCAATGTGTTTGGCAATTTCTATTGTGGCTGATGGCTTATGTCCTGTGTTGGATTTTGGGGTGAGGGGTTACTGGTTCTAGTTCTATTGCTCTGCTATTGTTACTCTAAATTTTGCTGCAATGGATTTTGAAGTATTATTGTCCTGAATGGATTTTGCCTGTAGCATTTTTACTTATGGAGCCATTTGGGGAGGCTGCCTTAACCGGCAGCCAGTACTTGCTACATTTGTTTTTTTTATTTTTTGTTTCCTTAAGTGCCTGCTGCGGCTCCTTAACTTTCCTTTCCAGCCAAAAGCTAATTCTTAAAGAGGAATGCGCCTTTTTAAGCTAGTTCCCTCAGCAGCTTGTTTTTTCTGTCTCTGGAGGCTTTTCGTTTGATAAATATATAGAAGAGGGAAAATATGGGGGGGGGTGTCAAATTCTTCCTTCAAAAGGAAGGAGATGGGAATGAGAAAGAGGGAGGGAGGGAAACAGGAAGGAAGAGAGGAGGGAGGGAGATTGGAATGAAAGAGAGGATCTGAAGGAAGTCCCGCCTTAGCAGTTGACCACCAGCAGCCCTGCCATTGACTTTGCTTGTCAAAAGGTTGCAAAAGAGGATCACATGACCCTTGGACACTGACCATCATAAATATGAATCAATTGCCAAGCATCCAAATATAAATCACATGACCATGGGCCTACTGCAACAGTCATAAGTATGAAAAATGGTCATAAGTCACCATTGTAACTTTGAACAGTCACTAAGCGAAGTGTTGTAAGTCAAGGACTACCTGTACTTTATCACTTTTTTTCCTTGTCATGTTTTTGACACCTTGCTAGGTGGTACTTGAATATTGCCATATTCTAAAAGTGGTACAATTGATGAAAAGGTTGAAAAGCTCCGTTCTATAGAATGGGGAAATCTACACTGTGCTGCAGGAAAAGGATAAAAAAAGAGTCAGGATTTAATTCCCTTCCTCAAACCCAATGAAAGGCTCAAAATCTCAATTCTGACAGGGGAGGAAATCTCAGATTCACGCAGAGCTGAGATTACCCCCCCCCCCCGGCAGGCATCTCTTTTCATCAGCTCCCAGAAAAGAGAGGGAGTCTTCTTAGCAGCTTGCAGTCTTACCTGCCAGCTTCCCTACTGAGTTTCTGAGGAAGCTGGCGGAGAAGATTGCAAATGGCTATTGCATGATTATGGGACACTTGTCAGCCCTTTTCTAAGTGTGACTAGGTTGCTAAGCACCCAGTTCAGCATCATGTGACTTTGAGGGAGGAGCGCAATGCTTTATAATAGCCAGAAGTGCTTTACAGCCTGTAAAGCAGCCTTTCTGAGACCGTCATAACTTTGATCGTTAAACAACCAGTTGTAATTCAAAGACTACATTTATCACTGTTCTGTGAATGCAGGGGCTGTCAGTCTCTTTCCAGATGCAATTCAAAGGCCGTTTATCACCTTTAAAGCCCTGCATGCCACAGGCAAGATTATTTGAGGACCAACTCTCACTGAGAATATCTGCTCATTCTACCAAGTCAGATAGAGTGTGGGCAAACTCCAGGTGCCTTCCCTTAAATACCGCCTTGTAGCGGGACTCAGAAGTGTGCTTTTTTTCATAGTAGCCCCTACCTTGTGGAATAACCTCCCCCCCCCCAGGTTTTAGCAGACCTCCACTCTCATAGTCTAGAACAGTGATGGCAAACCTTTTAGAGACCGAGTGCTCCAAAACTACCCCGCCCCCAGCCTGTCCCTGTTTCGCTCCCCCGCCCTGCTCTGCCCTCACCCTGCCCCCCCTCAGGGCCATCCACGGCCCGCCGCAGATCGCCCAGATGGCCCTGCAGCACCATGGTGGCCACTCCGTCTGCGCCCCGCAGCATCATCTGCTGCCCAGCTGCCATGTGCTTGGCTACGCTGCTCCGCGCAGGCCGCACCTGGGGAGACTCTTCTCTGGGGGGCCTGCTGGTGAGGAGGGGGCTGCAGAGGGAGGCAGGGCTGGGGGGACGCGTGCGTGCCCACAGAGAGGGCTCCGAGTGCTGCCTCTAGCACTTGTGCCATAGGTTTGCCACCACTGGTCTAGAAGGCTATAAAGAACCAACTCTTCCTCCAAGTGCTAGGATAGGGAGAGCTTGGAGGATGGTTTTGTTGAATGCATCAAAGGAGAACGGCTGAGGTGCCAGGTTTTCGCTTTTCTGCTTTTCTTGTTTTTTTGGTTTTATTGTTGTGGGTCCCCCTGAACTGTGTTTCTTAAGAAGGGCAGCCACATAATTCTTTTAAAACAATCAATTTTCACTTCATTCTTCTCTAGGCTCATTTGGACCAAACTAATTATTCTCATGAAAATTCAGAACTGGCAGAATTGGATAAGCTAAGATACAGACATTGTCTCACAACGCTTACAGTTCCAAGAAGATGTATAGGATTTGCAAGGAGACGAGTTGGAAGAGGTGGAAGGTAAAATAAGATATTTTCCTCCAGTTGAATACTTAGTGCAAGTGTTTGTCTTTTAGGTTGTTGGTAACATTTATTTTTTATTTCTTTTAAAATCAGGGTACTAATGGACCGGATAGGCACAGAAAATGATCCTGTCCTGAAGCAGATTGATCCAGATATGCTGAATAGTTGTTCGAGCTCTTCCCAAAATATAGACATTTCTTCTAATTTTTCACGGACCAATGCTTCCAATAAACATTGTGGAAATAAACTTTCCCTTTCTGAAATACTAAGCAATATCAGGTCATGTCGACTGCAGTGTTTCCAACCAAGGCTACTAAACGTACAGGACAGCGATAGTGAAGAATGTACCTCAAGGAAACCAGGGCAGGCTGTGAATAATAAAAGAGTTTCTGCACCTTCTGTAGCTTTATTGAACACCAGCAAGAATGGGATTTCAGGTAGGCAAAGATTTACAGTATTAACCTTTAAATAGATTTCTTTTTAATTTTATATTTGAATCCTGGCTAAAAAGTCTGTCACTAGCGTGTATGTCTGTTACAGCTGTAATAGTGGGGTTCAGGGGAAAAAAATACTATGCAGAGTTGTACTCTTAGTCATATAAAATAGCTTTAATTTTAAAATACAGTACTAGGCATAGTTTTAGTAATGTTTTCATGGGAGTCAGTTTCATCCCACTGCTACATACAAATGTCTATACTGGCCAGTCCAATATTACAAGAAGTTTCTGCATCTCCTTCTTTCAGTTTTCTGTTACTTGAAACTGAATTAGCAGTACTATCTCTTTCAATCTAGTCTTTAACGTAGCTTTTTTTAAAATATTTTTTTAATTAATTTTTTACACTGCCCAACTCTCAGCAACTCTGGTTGTACTCAACTATTCTAATATTCTGTAATAACAATTAAAACCGAAGATAATAAATGAATGTACACATGGTGAACTGGATTATTACAGAAAATTCAATCATTAAGATTTTTTCCCTCAGAATTTTTTTTTGGGAAAGCTTGAAAAAAAAAAACAAATATTTACAGTAACCTTAAACAATTGTGCACAGTTATCTATTAGCCTCTATTGCCATATCACTCATATCTTAAGTCTTAAGACATCACCACTGTTTTAAAAAAGATAAGGGCTTCCCCTGCCAGTTGTATCCGACTCTAGTGGGCAGTGCCCATCTCTGATTCACAGCCAAAGAGCCAGCATTGTCTGAAGACGCTTTTGGCCAGCGTGACTATACGTTGAGGCACATGGAAAGCTGTTACCTTCCCACTGAAGTGCTATCTATCTACTTGCATTTGCATGCTTTTAAATTGCTAGGTGGGCAGGAGCTGGGGCAAGTAACGGAAGCTCAGTCCGTCACGCTGTGCTTAGGTCTTGAACTGTCAACTTTCGGGTCGACAGCATCCTAACCATTTGGCCACTGCGCTGTTTGTTTTAGACTTACATTTTTAGGGAAAATATTAATCTTTCATACAGTACAACAGTGTGTCAGGTAAAACAGAAAAATAAGTTAAACACAGTAGATTTGATGTGTTTAAGAAATGTATGCAATAAAACAAGAGAATGAATCGAGTATGAATGGTGCTGAATGAAATACAGAGGAATGTGTCCAGTATGGAAGAAATGGTTTAGTCAGATAAAGAGAATGAAAATTGAACTGCAAGACCAATAACATTGCAATTAGATAGAGTTGATGAGCTCCTCAAAAGGAGAAGAGCTATATATGAAACAGTGTATGGAGGTAGTAGAAGCAAAGATGGTTGCATAGAGGAGTACGAAGTATAATGAATGGTGTGGGTGAAAATTCAGTTTGGCTGGCAATGATTCTTTCTCTTATATTGTGCCTCAGTTTTCTCAGCTTACCATTCCTTGCACTTTTGTCTGCACTTTGCATAATGTTCTTTATCCTGAAAGGAAATAATGTGATGGGTGGGCAGGTAGTTAGATAGACAAATAAAGAGTACAATATGCAATACTTCGTTTTCAAACTTCATTGAAACTTATTTACAGCTTTATCAATACCGGTTACATCTTAATATATCTCAGTGGATAGAATTCTGCCTCCTAACTTTGTATCCTTCATAATAGATTTGGAAATCCATCAGGGAGAAGGAAAACAAGAAAATCTGATATCACAAAATATTTTGTTTTTGTTTCAAATTTTTTCATAGCTTTACGCTTTATGTAGTAAAAGTTATCTCATGGTAGCTTAAACCATTATTATACGATTGCTGACACAAAACTAAACCCTATTCTATTAATGAAGCTTATTTCTAGATACGTGTATGGCATTGTAAACTGCCCAGTAAGTGCTGTAAAACACTATGGGGCAGTATATAAGTCTGTGCTATGATATATAAGTCTACAATGCTATTGCTATTGTAGCCTGAAAATGACAATCTGCTCAAAAGTTCTCCTGAGTGAAATGAAACTTACGATGGACAGTATGGAGCAGAGATATTAGGTTGGTACATAGGATTACAAATTCAGGCTGCAGTCACCGGTTAGTCAATTACTTTTGACTAAGCTCACTCTTTATGATTTCTGTAGTCACTGTTCACAAGCTTTAAAACCCTATTCAGAAAGAATTATAAAATGTTTGGTAGCATTAATTATCCCCTCCTGCAGCGTTCAAGGCTGTTGAGCACCTGCATTTTTTGATGGAGAGAACAACTTTCCTATGCTTGAGAGCTCCAGTAAATCTTCTACAGCAGGGGTTCTCAACCTTGGCAACTTTAAGACTTGTGGATTTCAACTCCCAAAATTCCTCAGCCAACTTGTTGACTTCAACTCCCAGAATTCCTCAGCCAGCAAAGCTGGTTGAGGAATTCTGGGAGTTGAAGTCCACAAGTCTTAAAGTTGCCAAGGTTGAGAACCCCTGTTCTACAGCTTTTTGAGAACTATACTCCAAAAGTGGATAGGACCAGTACCTGTTGCTTAATGAGGATTCAGGCTGCTTAAAGTATGAAAGGGTGTGCAAGTTAAAGTACTCGGTTTATCCCTCCTTTTTATTAGTTTGTAATATATAATACAAAAATACAAAAGCGAATAATAGGAAAAATAGGGGAGGAAAAAGGGAAGAGAAAAGTGTGGAGAAGGAGGGAAAAAGAAAGAAAAGGCATTGACCTCTGACTCCCTTTGGTACAGTTGAATAAGAAGTAATATTGAAGCTCAACTTTTTATTTTTACATAATAGTATAAACTAGCCATTTCTATAACAGCAGACTACCTAATCAGTAAAACCGAAAATCAAAGTTTTATTTTTTTCCACCTCAAGCACAAAGTCCAGATGAGTGATTTACAAGTAGAGACAAATGTACTTTTTTTTTCTTTTATCAAAGCAGTCAATTTAGCCATCTTTGCTAATTCCATCAGCTTTTGCAACCATTTATCCATTGTGGGGATTGAAGCATCCTTCCATTTTTGTGTATAAAGTAATCTTGCTGCTGTCAACATACATAACATCAAAGTTCCAAATTTTTTCCAAGTCTTTTTCCATTAAACTCCAAAGAAAAGTTTCTGGTTTTATCTTTATATTCATTTTGAGAATCTTCTGTATTAGAATATGAATCCTACTCCAATATTTCTTTGCTTTATCACATGTCCACCATAAATGATAGAAAGTCCCTTCTTTACATTTGCATTTCCAGCATTCATTTGAAATACCTTTATACATTCTTGATAACTTGGTAACTTATCTGGTGTTAAATACCAGTGATATATCATCTTATACAATTTTTCTTTTAAATTGTAATTTTAAGCCTTTCGTGCACATATTCTCCCATTGTTCAAGCTTAACATTATATCCAGAGTTCCTTGCCCACTGAATCATACAATGCTTTACATATTCATTTATCAAATTCATTTTATTGACCTTATCCTTTAAACTAATTAAATAAACAAAAAACACACTTATCAATACCCTAAAAGTAGAAAAACTCAGGTCCTACCTGAGGATGGCTGGAAAACCAGAAAAGGAATGTATGCTACTCTGACTTAAGTCTTTATATAGTTTCTTCATAGAAATTCAGCCAAGGTGATTTAATGCTGAAATTAAAACTAAATAATAAAGAATAATCTTTTGGCAGTACTGTTAAGAACAGAGCTTGGGTTACTTAGCTGGACTTCTTCTCTCCTGCCTTTTTAAATAAGCTTAGAGGAGATGGAGGCGGGCTTCCCCCAAAATGGGCTTTGTAGCATATAGTGCTCTGTTTTATAATCCATAAATGTGAACTTGGTCATAATTCAATACTATTTTAAGTATGGGTATTTTAGCAATTTGCTTCTTGACTGCTCATCATGTGTGTTGTAAGAATGGTAAAGAGAAATGACTTGATTTTTTTTTTAATATATCTCCATGAAGAAAATGTGAAATCAGTCCATTGACTTCATAAAAACAAATCATGGGCTAAGGATATTTTACGCTTTTTGCAATTTATATTTGATGCCAAAAACACATCTTTTGCTCCATGTTGAAAATAGAGGATTTTAGTTAGCAGATAGTGTTTTAAACTGTGATCTGGTATCCAAACAATACATTAAGTAGGTTTTGCAAACTAGTTACTAGATAGAATTGTGATAATTACTAAAAGAACTGAAAGATATTACTTGTAAAACTGATCAACCCTGTTCTACACCACAGTCAAAATATCATTATTATTTTTGGGTAACAGAAATAGTAACTTTTGTAGATATGAAAACTTAATCTATCCTTTCTCCCCCAAAAAAACCCCAATAAATCTACAGAGATAAGAGTGTGCCACAAGTTAGCCCAAAAAAAGTTAGAGCAGAATTTACAATTGGAAGTTCAGTGCAATGCCATTAACAGATGTCTGTCTCTCAAAATGTGGATGGCTTTGTACAGTCAGAAATGTTTGTGATATCCCCTACCAATGGACGCTTTTTCTTACACCATCTTGATTGGATTGCATTGTTAATTCTATAGATTTTGTTAATCCTAATGTACATTTGTATGTTAGAAAATCTATCTATCTATCTCAGCAAATGACTCTGGGTGGCTCACAATTCAGAGACATATATTATAATTAAAATTTTAAAAACATTTTAAAACAATAAAAACCATTAAAACAATACAAAAACATTAAAATATCTAATTTGAGTAAGTATGACATCTGGCCTGTTAACAATAAAGCCAGGAGGTGGGGCCTTTGGCCCTTGGTCTTCAGAGCTTTATGGAACGCTAACAGGATTGGGGCCACTTTAATCTCCAAAGGGAAGATGCTTCACAAAGCAGGGACTGCTGCAGAAAAAGCTTGTTTTCTACTCCCCCGTCAGCCAACAGTCTAACAACACACAGGTGGCCGAACTAGCAGCTGAGACAGTCCTGTCCTCTTCCTCAGGTTCAATGGGTTTAAACTCTTCCCAGATTGGTTTGCAAGAGGTAGCCCCATCATCTCCATAAACTCTGCTCCAAGGCCGGAGTCCAACATAAAGCAAATGTGACTGATTTTATCTGCCAGATATGCAGCATATTCTTCACAATGGCCGTTGAAGTAGACTTTGGCCTTACTCTCTCCCAAGGAGGGACTGAGTCACTTGAAACAGTGCTGCTGGGCGGCTATCAGCAGACGCAATAAGGGTGGATAAATCATTACATTTTGCCACCCTAATCGCAGCTATAGCTGGTGTTTGTTCATCTTCACTTCCTGTCTTTTACCAGCAACCCTCTAGGTGTCTCTCAGCTTGCTTTCCTTAGTTCAGGGGTAGGCAACCTCGGCTCTTTTATGACTCATGGATTTCAACTCCCAGAATTCCTGAGTCAGCATAGCATAGCTGACTCAGGAATTCTGGGAGTTGAAGTCCATGAGTCATAAAAGAGCTGAGATTGCCTACCCCGCCTTAGTTTCATTGTATACCATGGGTAACATTAGGAACAGTGGGCGCAGAAATGCTGCTCAGGCACGATCCAATCTAAAGTTGTTGCCACTTTATTATTCCATGCAGCCTCCAAGGCTTCAACCGGACCAAGTAGCAAGCTTTCTGGAATAACCTCAAGTTCCCTCTGGAAACCAATCAGGTCCATTAGTGGCCTGGGGCAAGTTGATCCAATAAGGCCAGCCTCTCTCCAAGGGTGGGGGGCGGGAGGATGAAACCCATGAAATTAAGGCTCGGTAGTACTCTAAAAGTAGAAGTAAATCATCTTGTTTTCCTGATTGGTACAAGGCTGATCTAAAAGAGAGTGAGAAAAAGGAATATTTTGAATTAAAAGACAGATACATTTAAGAAGTTATTCCCAGCATATCGCTTGAATTCTATGATACCTACAAAATATGTCTTGTTTGTCAGTATGCACATCTGAACACGGCATCATTTTTTAGGATGTTTTATATGTTTTTATTGAAGAGAAGCAAGTCTCCTATGTAGATGGTTGGAATAGTCCATGTTAAAATATGTTTGACTCCTATCAATAATAGAAATATAGTTTTACCTGCTTTTGTCCATACAGGTCAAAACAAAAAACAAAAACACACCCCAAAACCTTTTTACATTTGGAAAACTAGCTATAGCTGTCTAGATTTTCTATGTGAGGTGATTTTTAAGCAGAGGAAAAGCTTAAATGATTGGGGAGAGAAATAAACTGGCTGAAATAATTAAACTTTGGCATGCTACTATAATTGGGTCATAAAATTAAATCTTGACTTATGACCATAATTGGAACCAGAATTTTCATTGGGAAGTAATGCAGTGGTTAAATGATTTGTGACTGCTTTTACAACTTTCTTGCCACTGTCGTTAAGCAAATCTCACTATCGTTAAAGCACATCTGGCTTCCCCTTTGACTTTGCCATCACATGACTTTGGTGCTGCTGCTGTCACCAATGCAGGCTGATTGCCAAGCAACCAAATTTTGATTATATGACTGCGGGGATGTTGCAGCAGTAGTAAATGAGAACTCTGGTCGTAAGTCATTTTTTCAGCTCAGTCGTAGCTTCAAACCATTGTTAAACAAATGGTCGTAGGTTGAGGACTACTTGTAGTCTCAAATATTATGTACATTTTCATGTTCAGCCTCAGGATGAACTGTAGATCTCTCTCCAGGCCCAATAACAATAATAGAAATGCAAGGATATACTGATAGTCTTCGGCTTACAACAGTTCGTTTAGTGACAATTCAAAGTTACAACACCACTGAAAAAGGTGACATGACCATTTTTCACAGTTACGACCTCTGCAGCATCCCCAGGGTCACGTGATCAAAATTCAGACGTTTGGCAACTGGCTGATATTTATGACCGTTGCTGTGTCCCAGGGTCACTTTTTGCGACTTTCTGACAAGCGAAGTCCATGGGGAAGCCAGATTCACTTAACAACCGTGTTACTGACTTAACAACAGCAGTGACTCACTTAACAGCTGTGGCAAGAAAGGTCATGAAATGGGGGAAAGCTCCCTTAAACGTCTCACTTAACAACAGAAATGTTGCACTCAATTGTGGCCGTAAGTTGAGGGCTACCTGTACGTTTTTGCCCTTTTTCTTCATGCTTGGTTTTCCTACGCAAAGATCTGAACAAAGATATATACAGTTGAATTGCAACTGTTCTGATCTTGAAATCTTTTCCTTCAAAGGAACATTATCAGGGTGAAGAATGTACTTTACTGGCCCATTCCCATTTTTTAAAAGTCACCAATTTTAATAGGTTTTAGAGAAAAGAATGGTGAGATGATCAGAGTTGCAGATGGGCAACATGTAAAATAAACATTTAAATAAAGTACTACAGGAATGAGTAACCAAAAGCTCCAGAGCTTTTATAGAAACTCCTGTAATTACAATAACTAATAAACTGTAGTTAAATTCTAAAATGCCTCACAGTACAAGCTGCAGCAAAGAAATCCTGGAACATTCTTCCCCCAGCTCATGAAAATAGAAAAAATCCTGGCCTATCCATGCGTATACCTACTTTGGGTCATCTGGCTTTCGTAAAAATATTATGCGCACCCCAATTACTAAAAGATTGCCAAACTCTGCTCTAACAACAGAGAATGTTAAAGCAATTTATATCAAAGGAATGGCTTTTTCTGATTTTAGCTTTAATCTTTTTTATTATATGAAATATTTTACAACATTGTTGGGCTTCTTTGCCCCTGGTGCTTATATAAAATTATAAGTGACAAAACAGAGTCTGGAGTTGCGAAATATCTGAAATATTTCTGGTGTTGTAAATGGAATTGAAAACTGAATGGAACTGAAATAGTTGAAAACATTTCGGTCATATATTATAGGTATAAATATACTGTATGTAGGTATAAATATACAGTAATTTAACTGCAACCATAAATGCTTTTGAACCAGTTTTAGCCTCATTAGTTCAGTTCTAGCTTATTTTCATTGATTTGAGTAATTATTTAGAAAGCTGTGGTAACTTCTGGAATAGAATATGTTTTTCATAAGAAAATTATATTGACATAACTGACCCACAAAGCTTATCGGTTTCTAAACAAGCTAAACTCAGTTGGATTGCACAAGCTAATTTAATTGACCATCCAAAAATTATTTCCAGACTCAATTATACTTGTGGTGTTTTTAAAATATTAAATTGGAATAGTCTGAGTGAAAATGAATGTCTGCGGAAATACTCTCATCAATGCAAGTGGGAGTTTGCATGAACTGTCAGCTGTTAAACAAAAAAAGAGCAAATGATACAATTTAGCACATAGCAGAGGAAAATGTGAAATTGTATCTCTACTTGTGATGCAGTAGTTATATGTATTAAGAAGTCCATTTGTTGTAGGTATTAATTTCTAAACTAGGCAGGTGTTTAACTGTATGATTTGCCTGCATAACATTTTCCTCCTTGGTTAACTTTTTGTGCCTTTATGCATTGTGAATCATAAGCCGGAAAATCTACATTTAAATCATTAATTGAGATAATTGGTACAAGAAAAATAAGTACATTTTCATACCCATTATTTGCGATAGACCTGCTTATAACCTATTTTGTTTCACTGGGGTTAGAAGTAGCATGAGCCTACATTCAGACAACATACTAAACCTTGAATTAAGAAACTACTGCTATTTGCTGGCTATGGTATCGAGTGATGGGAAGACTGAAAAAGGACTGAAGATAAACTCTCTGCTTAACTATAGGCTTAGGAAGATAAAATGTGCAAATGAGCTTACTGATAAGAATGTGAAGGACTTCATCTGCTTTGTCTCGTTAAACATTTTCATTCTGAAACTACCCTAATTATAGTTTTGATGGCCACCAATCCAGTAATTTTAGCAAATACTGCAGTATAAACATCTAAATTATATCCATAGTTTTCAAATCACAGTAAAAAAATCTAGGTTACTCAAGGAATTCATCGAGTTCCAGAGTACTACAGATATAATAAATCAATTAATGAATGATAATTAATTGCAGTTGGAAATGTTGGTTTTGTTTTTGGTGGTTTGTGTTTTTTTAAAATAACACCTTACAGATGCTTTTCTTAACCTGTATATTCCTCTTTTTTGAGACACCATCAGCTAGTTAATTTATAAGAAGTAGACCATTAACTAACTAAATTACTGAACAAGTTTAAAATGATCATTCCATAAATTCATTGTGCTATTAATGTAGCTATTTAAAAATTGCTTTGCTTCCCAATCCACGTAAGTTACACAGTGACTTTTATGACTTTGAACCCTTAAATTCAAGCATGTTCTTTCTTTCTTTCTACAGTAACTGGGGGTATTACAGAAGAACAATTTCAGACACATCAACAGCAGTTAGTTCAAATGCAAAGGCAGCAACTGGCTCAGCTCCAACAGAAACAGCAGTCTCAGCATCAATCCCAACAGACATATCCAAAAGCACAGGTAACAAACGCCTTTCTTGAAAGTAGTTGCTCTTATATTCTAGAAACCAATGTAGAACCAGTTCTGCTTTTTTCTAGTTTTTTTCTCTCTCCCATTTTTTGTCTTCATATCTACTTCAAATAGACCAGTCTGATATACTTAACATGCAACCTAAATAGAGTAGGTAAATGCAGTTTTGTGATTGTGACAAAAGAAGGACTGCCATAGGCATGGTTGTCTATTGATTATACCCATATGCTATAGGGCTTTGATTATAAACCAATACCGTTAATGCTTGTGTGCCCGTCTTATCTGTTCTTAGAAAAATATATTTTCTTCTAATTCATACAACTAGCCTCATAATTCTTCCAAAGAGTAACTAATGTATTGAGTTGGTGGCAGTAAAAAAACCCTAAAGTGTGAGGGCACGTTAAAGAATAGCAGATTCACAGTGTTATTCTGTAAGGAATGAGCTTCCTTGGGCTATAGTCTGTGGTGAAATAAAATAAATCTGCTAATTTGTAATGTAATACCGAACCCTAGTGATTTATTTTTTTAATATTTAGAATTTGAAATTCATTTCTGAATCAATTTTCTCCAGTCCCTTTATAATGTTGATTTGACATTAATAAAGAGTCTTAATAGTATGAATTAATGCCATTGCTATGACACTACTAATATATGAACATAATGGAATATTTTGAATGTTTTGCATCTATGTTATGGTTGCAGTATAGCATGTTGTTCAGTATCTTTACTTATACTTATCTGGGTTTCTTTACCCCGTGTACGCAATTAAAACGCAATCCTCTTTGGAAAGGATGTGAAGACGTTCCCATTTAAATAAAGGTGCTTTTAACATTTCAGCCCTGGACCACAACTTTTAAAATGGTAAAGGTAAAAGATAGAAAGCAAAAACTTTTAGCTTATTTAGTAGACAGAGCTTAATCTGAAGCCAGTGAAAGCCTATTTATTCACTCGAAGCAGCCCCTTCCTCTCCTGCAGCTGCACCGGTACTTGCGGTCTAACTTCATGGGAATTAGAAACAGTTCTGTCACTAAGAGAACATCTCTTGGGTCTGAATAATTTTTTTACTGTTTATATCAAGAGTTAATTTGATAGTATCTTACAAATAGTCTGTAATTATGAAAACTGGTGTGTAAATTTCCCAGGGCTCAAGCACTTCTGACTGCATGTCAAAAACGCTTGACTCGGCCAGTGCCCATTTTGCTGCATCTGCAGTGGTGAGCGCACCCGCTCCCAATCGGGGTGAGGCGACAAAGGAACAGAGTGCCAGCCACAATATCAACGGTGTTGTTCAGCCAACAGGTATATTTTTTTTGTTGCATTATTTTCATGTTAGTTTGTAGCAAGATGTTGCTAATGTTTACTTTCTATACAAGATCAGTCTGAGAAAATGTTTGATAGGGCAATAATGGCTGTTTTTTTTTAAATTAAGTCATGGAAGATTTTGATCTTTTTATTATTTAATAAAAATAATAAAATTCTTGTTGGGCATCTGCAGATTCTTATATACTTTAATGTATTACAGTGTGTCTTTGAATTGAAGAGATGAGTCCTAATGTTTGGATATAGATCTCTTTCGTTATTGCTTCATAGCTTGTTCCATCCTGGTGCCCTCCATATGTGTTGCCCTATAACTTACATCCCCCTTAGCCCAACTTCTGGAATGTACCATATCCAGAAGGCATTAAGATGGGATGGTGATCTTGGTTTTATTTCATGAATTTCATTTTACTTGAAACCTATTGAGTGCATCTGTTTTGTTTTGAACAGCAACATCAAAAACTTTGTATTCCACCAATATGGCTCTGTCATCTAGCCCAGGGATCTCAGCTGTACAACTTGTAAGGACAGTCGGTCACACCACCACAAACCATTTAATCCCAGCATTGTGCACAAACAGCTCTCAGACACTTCCTATGAACAATTCTTGTCTCACCAATGCAGTGCACCTCAACAATGTCAGTGTTGTTTCTCCAGTCAATGTACATATCAATGCAAGGACTTCAGCACCATCGCCAACCGCCTTAAAACTTGCCACAGTTGCTGCCAGTATGGATAGAGTGCCAAAGGTGACTCCAAGCAGTGCCATCAGCAGCATAGCAAGGTGTGTGTCTCTTGCTCCTCCTCCTCCTCTCTGCCCCCCCCCCCGTTTTAAAAAAGAAAAGTGGATTTACCAACAAATCTTAACCCAAGAAAGACTGAATTAAGTAATGATATTTGATTTGTGTATCTCAGGGGTCTTCAAACTTGGCCCTTTTATGACTTGTGAACTTCAACTCCCAGAATTCCTCAGCCAGCCATGCTGGCTGAGGAATTCTGGGAGTTGAAGTCAACAAGTCATAAAAGGGCCAAGTTTGAAGACCCCTGGTGTATTTTGTTGGGGAAAAAATGCGTTTGTTTTTAATTATTTTGCTAGCAAAATGCAAGAAGCTATAATGACATAAAAGATCTACCCTCATAAGTGAAAGGTTAATTCAGCCAATTATTTTATATTACAAATCTCAAGAAAAATCTGAAATCCTGTAGATTATGTATAGGATTTATATATTATTTTATACGCTGTATAAATGTATACATCTTCTACACTTCTATATTTATACATTGTTTTACCTTCCTAATGAAAATTAAGATTCTCTGATTTTTCTTTTTTATTCCTTTTCTACATGCGGTGAGAGGGAAATTTGCATCAATTGTCATTTTCTTCCTAGTAAAGTTTTAGCTTTGTTGTGTTTTAGACATTTCTCAGATAATACATATGAGAGATCCTAAGTTAACAAAATGTCAGCTATTAAGAAATTATACATGTAATTCATTATTAAAACTATATATTTATTTGCCCTTCTCTTTTCACTTTCAGAGAGAACCATGAACCCGAAAGATTGGGTTTGAATGGAATAGCAGAGACGACAGTAGCAATGGAGGTGACATAACCTAGCATAGTAGCTCAATGTGTGCTGATGGTGTCATTTATATTCCAGCTGAATGCAAAACAAAACTCTGTGGATCACAGGGGATTAAAATGGACCTAAACGGACTATCATATCGTATATTAAGTCGATATATAATGTACATTTTGTAAAATTGGGAAAATCACTACCTTGTAAAATAGTTTATTTGTATCATCAATATTATTTCTGTTACTTGAATAGTAGATATTCATCATCATGCTTTTGCACTTGAATTTGCAACTGAATGGATTTAAAAATAATTCTTTAAATGGGATCATGAGCATGAAATGGGATCCTGCATCACTTGTTTTAACTATTTATTTTGCCATGTTTACATTTTGTATCTTGTAAAAAAATAAATCCAACTTTGTGTCTAAAAAAAAAAGTTAAAGATTCATAGCTAGGAAAAATTCTTGTAATTTTTTTCTAAAGGAAATGTAAAGTTTTCACTTGGTTCATTTTGTTTCACAATTTTAGATGGACTTTTTGGTAAATACTTTAGTGGCATTTCACTGTCAAATATGAAGTTCAAGGCAAAATAGTATTTTCTATTACTGTGCAGGGGAAAGGGATGGATCGATACATGCAAATTTAATGTAGTAACCCACTTTTCCATATATTTTGAATGTATATTTCTATTTATAATACCAATTTATAAAAAATAATTACACAGAAAACCTGACTAGTACAAATTATGCATCTAGCACATATTAAACTGTGCAGATATGAAGAAAATTTTCAACTGATTATATTTTATCTGAAGTCTGCATAATTTAACCGGCTTTTAACTGTAACACACCACATAAATGATATTTTACCAGGTATGTATTGCATTATATATCATTGCAATAATTATTGGATGTCTAGATATCGAGCCATCCCAGGTAATGGGGGAGGGGGGAGGGTCATGGCAGATTGTCTTTCAATTTTGGAAAGTTTTCCTGTGGCTACAAGGCAAGTAACGGGTTGGAAAAAGTCTGACTGTAAGCGTTGGACACCTTCGTAGTGTAGTGTTTTAGTGACTTTTTTTATACGGTTCTTGTAAATTAGATATGTGTAGTGGTGTTTCAGAATGTTTGTTTATGCACTAGTTCAGACAACTTTCCCTGTTACTTGTTCTTGATAAGTGAAAACTGCAGGGAAATAAAAATACATATCAAAACATGGGCATCTTGCATACGTGTTTATTTCACAACATGGAGAACAGTTTGCAATTTTTGGAAGCCAGTAGTTATCAAACTGAGACACCAGCAATTTGGCATGTATAGGTTCAGCACCATCTCAATAGAACCAGGACTCTAGAAGCTTCTGCAGGCATGTAACCTGCTGGATCAGGAAGTGTGTGTACAAAAACTTGATGGATGGAATTGGATGTTTGCATCCAGCACTTGGGCTGCCTGTGTGATTCCCAGCATTGAGACGGGTACTTTGTAAACATCACAGAACAGAGTGACACTGCTTTCTATGTTACGAGGGCTAGGCATGTATAGAACTCTATGAGCAGCACGTGGTGTATCTGTCAGTTTCTGGACTGGGGCTTGAAACTCTTTAAAAATTTTGAGTTTTCCTTCATTTGTACTTGATGTACATTAGTGCATATTGCACATAAAATCGCTACCTCATAGCTGTAATTTATGCTGTACATGCTTTTGCATAATTATCTGAATAGAAATTTACTATTTGATTATGTAAGTGGCAAAGGACTCATAATGATGCTTCACTAATTTTAATCTTATCTTCCTCAAGTTATATATATATATATTTTTAATTGAAAATTTTTAAGTTTTACAAAAAGAAAAAAAAATTCCCTTCCCCAAACCCTCCCAACCCTCCCCTGCCCTCCCACAACCTTCCCAGAGCTGAATACAGGCTTAATTTTTTAAGGGAAATCTTAAGATACATATAAACCATAAGCAAATCTAAATACATTCATTAACCAAATTGTAAAATAATTAACAGCAATATATATAAAAAGAAATACAAGAAGAAAGAAAGAAAGAAAGAAACAGAAGAAAAAGAAAAAATCCAATAAGAAAAGAAAAATAAAAAGATTAAAAAATATATATATGAAATATCTTAAATTTATATAATTTATTCAAAAACTAAATATTTTTTTATATCCAATTTATTTTGTATAAAATCTATCCATTTTTTCCATACCAGGAGATACTTCTCCTGCGATTGATCTTTCAAGAAAGCCGAAATGTTTGCCATTTCCGCCAAATAAGAAACTTTGAGAAACCACTCTTGCAAAGTAGGCAAAGATTCCTTCTTCCAACTTTGCCCTACTAACAACCTGGCGGCTGTGATTAAATTTAACATCAGTATAGTCTCTTTACTATCACAATCAGAAACAATACCTAACAAGAACAATTGTGGGGTAAATTTTATCCTTCTTCTAAAAATTCTTTGAATATTCCACCATATCTTAATCCAAAAAGCTTTTATATTTTTACATAACCACCAAATATGATAATAAGTAGCATCCAAACATCCACATCTCCAACATTTAGGCTGCAAATCAGGATACATACGAGACATTTTTTGTGGATCAAAGTGCCATCTATAAAACATTTTATAAAAATTTTCCCTTAAATTTTGGGCTTGTGTAAATTTAACATTCCTCACCCAAATAATCTCCCAAGTATCTAATAGAACCGGTTCATCAAAATTTTGTGCCCATTTAACCATACATTCTTTAACTAATTCTGCTTCTGAATCCAATTCTACTAACACCCCATAGATTCTCTTAATATGAGTTCGTCTTTGATCTTTTATTTGTTTTAACAAATTCTCATCTTCTCTAAGCAATCCCACGTTACAATCTATCTTCCACCTCTCCACTATTTGTCTATACTGAAACCATGAATAAGTAATATTTTCTTGTGTTAAATCTTCCAGAGATTTTAATTGCCAGTTTTTACCATCCCATCTAAGTAGTTGTGCATAAGAAACACTATCCATCTTAACTCCTCTCCTTATCCCTTCTATCGCATGCCACGGTATAGCCCATAGTGGAATTTTAAAATCACTTCTATAATATTTCTTCCAAACCCGAAGTAAAGAAGTCCTTATAATATGAGATTTAAAAACCCTATCAACCTTTTTATTAAAAATTAAATAGGCATGCCATCCAAAAAGTCCTCAAGTTATATTTTTGAAGTGAGTCTGAACATATTTAAAGTAAAGAGAAACATGAATTTGGCTTCTTTTAGGTTCAATATAATTTTATTATTTTTATGTTGTGCCTCTTTTACAAGGATAAATCGTGTGTATACCATGTTATTAATACTTACATTGGTCGTTATTATATAAAAATCTATAACTCTTTTAAAGTAAAATGGATTGAGCCTTTTTGCTTTTTGGCTATCAGGGTTTTCCAAAGATTAAAAAAAGTAGCCAGGGAATATTAGCTAGTGAATTTTTTGCTCCATGAAGTCAAAGCATTAATGATTGCATTTGCATACCAGTCTAGTATGCTTTAACCCTATCCATTTGCTCAGGAAACACATTCTAGGTAACTATTTCTCAGTCACCTTCCTAGAAATTAACCTTTAAAAAGGTTGAGAATCTTTTATGTGAAGTGAAGCAAAGCTACACAGCATGGATTGGATGGAAAAAGTCACTTAGCTATTATTTACCTACAGGTTTACCCATGATCTGATTTGAATCAATAAAAATAATTTACTAATAGCAAATGCTACAAGCCTGCCGACACATAGTTGTGTCTTTGGCCCTTGATATATCTAATTTTGTAATATTTTCATAAGACAAGTTTTGTTATAAAGTATGTGACACTTTTGAAAAACTGAAGAGTCTGCAGAATGACTTTGAACTATTGGGTTGTATAGAGAAGTAACGACCCAACATAACAGTTGTAAATTAATGCTGCAGTAGATTAACTTGGGATAAGCTCTATTTGTTTCACATTTTTTTGTGTCCTGCTCTAATCTACAGACATTGGGCAGCACACAACAGAGACTAGAAAATTTAATCCTTGTTAAAGGCACAGTGGAATAGTATTGTTTTAATACAGTGGTTCTCAACCTGTGGGTCGGGACCCCATTTGGGGTTGAACGACCATTTCACGGGGGTCGCCAAACAACATGGTCTGCCATTTTTTCCCCCTTTTCCTTAGCTGTGCTACTCCCTTTTATTCTATTGGCTTTCAAAAGCCAATAGGAATTGTCCAGGCTGTCTCTGCCCTGCTGAGCCCGCCAAAAGTCCCATTCTGCAAACGGTGCTGCAAGTTGTCTGCAGCGAAGGCGAGCTGTCTGGAAGCTTCCACCCCTCCCTGCTGAGCAACTACTAAAAATGTAAGTAAAAGAGAGCCAGGGGTGGGAGATGGGAGGCCGGCAGGTGCAGGGAGGGTTGCTGGCATGCGTGGGGCCCGGCGGGTGCCTTACCTCCCTTGGGCGGGGCCAACTGGTGGCCCAGCCGGTGGTTGGCCTGCGCCGTCTCTGCCGCTTGCCAGCTATGCCTCGGCCGGCGCAGGGGGCGGCACCACGCATGCACGGCGCTCCCGGGCAGGGAAAGTCCTTGACTTACGACTAGTTGGGTAGTTCTCAACTTACGACCGGTTGGGGGTCACGGCATTAAAAAGGTTGAGAACCACTGTTTTAATAGCTGTGTGAAATACTACAAAGGAAGAGGCTGCTAAAATTTCCAGAGGCAATGAGTTCCAAAGTACAAGGTCAGAACAGAAAAAGCCTGCTGCCTGGTCCAGGTCCATCTCACCTTACCTAGTGGGAAAACTCTTAATATTCTCATCTTTTTGCAGAATGGACACATTCAACCTTGACAAATGACATCTGATCCTACATCCCCCAGAGTTCTGAATCAGTGTTTTGAAAGCCCAGCTGGTAGCCCTGAAGCAACTTTCACAGTAGTGTTATTTTTACTATGGTAGGATTGTACTGTTGGTAATTTAGACACTGCATTTTGGACCAGCTGCAGCGTCTAAGTAATCTCTGATAAATGATAAATGATAAAGCATTTACAGCATTCCAATTCAGTGTTGGGTCAAAATATGGGTTACATTGGCCAGGTAGGATTGCAATTGGCATGCCAGGCAAAGCTTGACAAAAGCCCCATAGTCTCCACCTGTTGCTCAAGTAATACCTACAAGTCAAGATCATGAACCAACCCCTTTGGAGACGGGGCCATTCTGTCCTATCCAGTAATTTTCCTGGATGTGTATTGCTGAAAAACATAGTGTTGGATTCAGTCTAACATTTTGCTTCGTTCAAACCCTGATAGAAGCCAGACACCAAGCTTTCTAGGGCATCCTTGCTCTGGCCTGACCTCTCCTAGGGTCTTAGATGTTAAATAGCTTGGGGAAGAGAACTGAACTCCCAGGTACCCTGAATTGAAAGAATTGCTGGGTCAGGCGTTGTCATAATTACTGACTGGAATGACCTCAGGCGCTGAAACTTAAGCAGTGTTTCTGACTCCCCAGCCTTGTATGCAGCCTGGCAAGATACCACAAGCCCATAGTATCAAATGCCACAGAGGGATCTTACAGGAACAGTGAGGTGCACTTTCCCATCGCAGATCCAGATGAGAGTCATCCACCAGGGGAATCAATGCTATTTTTGTCTAATGAGAGATAATTCGTTTCTTGGATTATCTGTAGCTAAGCCACCAGGAAAAATTGGACACCAAGCAGAAATGGTTAAAAATAGCCGTTCCACAGAGGGCTTCTTCCAGAGAAGATATACAACTTCTTCTTTTAAGATAGTGGCATGATTCTCTTTTAAGAATTTGAAATTTTCCCAAGCCAATCACCCACACTCTGCCTGGCTGTCCAAGGAAGGCACTGAGGACACTTCCTTAAAGTGCACAGGTGGCAGAGTTTGCACCACAGAGGATCTGAGCCTATTCTCAAACTCAAACAAGCCCCAGATAACAATACAAGATCTTTCCTTTGCTCAACACAGTGGATTCTGTCCCACTGGCATCTAGCCCAGAGTGGGTATCAGCTACATTATTCATCAAAAATCTTTAAAAATAATTTGGCACACCAACAGTGCCTTATCACACTCTTGCTAAATGAATCCAGGTCATTCTGAACAGGGCTGCCTGGTGGGACTTCATGGATGGTAATAAGCATCACCATATATATCTTTATATCTTAAAACTCAACACAAGAAGACTGAATGGAGTCAAGCATTTGCTCACGTATCTTCCAGTTTTTAGCATGCTGTGTATCTAATGCTTATGTTTTTCTGACATCTGAGACACACACACAAATGGACACACACATACCTTGCAAGAAGTATTTTTGTTTAGTTAACAAGTCACATTTAATTCCTGGTGATTACGTGGACGCATGCTTATCAAATTGTCCTGACTTAATAACACAGAGTTCTTCCACATTTGATTCTATCCATCCACCCTATTTTTCATCTTCTCCTTTTCTAAATATTTCCAAACACAATTATTTATTTTTAGAATTAATCATTTTAGCATAGCTGCTTTAATACAGCAGTATCACAACTCTAGAAAGGATCACTGCAATAAAAATGTTTTTTATGAACTTGGAAGTTGTGCTTCCAAAATTTTAGTTGATTAATACAAATTAATAAAGTTTCAATAATTATTAGTAAATATCAATTAATAAATACTTTTACTTAATCTAAAAATATCTTGCCTCATCTTCAACATGCCATGTAACTCCAAATATTTTTTAAAAATACTTTGATATGGATTGCAATTTAGAAACAGTCTATAAGTTAAAAACCTAGGAAATCCCTGAGTACAAACCATTATTTTTGGAAAATCTTATTTTACATTTGGCCTCAAGTGATTACAGTAGGAAATAGTGTGAGTGTGAAATAGCAACAGTTCTTTCCATCTCAAATTTAAGGCAGTAAGTAGGTGACAGTTTTGAATAGCTGTGAAGCAAATAATTGAGGAATGAATACAGTATAGCCAATCATGAAGCAGTGTAATATTCTGAGAATTAATTAAGAAATGTACAAATGTCACCAAATTCCAAAATACTTTAAAACAACCTGTATAATGTGATCAGAACAAAGTGTCTTGTTCTTTAGCTGTTATAAATGATCATGGGGAAAATTGGCAACGCAAAACATAAGAGCTTGGCTATTTGCCTTTTAGATTTGGCCCAAAACAAACTCTTAAACACAATCTTATTTGCACCCTTAAATAATGTGATAAATACAATCTACAAACTGACATTCAAACAGATGCAGAAACTTATTTATAACACTAATGGAACATTTTATGTAGGAAATCATTCTGGTTTATCTTGACTTTGTTATATGAAATCATACAAACCATGGGTTTGTTTGTTAAACAATTTTCAATAATTTTGCCTTTCAAGGCAGAGGTTATATGATCATACAAGTAGTCCTTGACTTACTACCACAACTGAGCTCAAAATTTGTTGCTAACTGAAACAGTTGTTAAATGACTTTTGCCCAATTTTACAACCTTTTTTTGCCACAGTTGTTAAATGAATCACTGCCACTAGTTTAGTAGTCTATAGTTCAAGTATGCAGTCCTAAGCTTATTTACCTATGAGCCAGCTCTACTGAACTCATAGACTTTACTTTTAAATAGAACTGAAGATTCTGGCATTTTCATTTCCCTGGCTGGGTCTTTTGTTCAGCTTTTAACTGCAGACACTTTAAAAACAGATTAAATTTCCTCCTCTTAAATTTGGTTTGGTTTGGATGAGGATGGACAGTTTTGAAATTAAAAATCTCTTTTGAATCCCATTACAATCCAATATGTATAAAACTTCCTTGAAGGCAAATCTTCCTGTGTTCAACGAAGCTTACTCCTAGATACACTATTAGTGAACTATTCAAAAAACACATTAATTCTTAGTTAGTTGAATTAACCTAATTGCTTGGGTTCCCACAAGTTAAGAAACCATAAATTAGCCACCCTAGACTGTTGTTCCAACTTAGTAGGCTTGATTGAATATCTCTCACACTGCAAAAAGATACATTGTTTCTAGTAATTAGTAGACCCCCACATCTCTAGCTCGCTTACCTGTTTTAATTCTATATTCATACATTGTAATAAACCACTGTTTATTTAACCATGATTTATAAAATAATTGGCAGTTCATATAGCATACTAAATCATAAAACATGCTTTATGAGCCATTAATGACTTCATTTTTATGACATGAGTCACATATAAACCCTCTTCTGACTTATGCTGTATGGATCCAGCCTCAGGGCAAAAAGTAATAGTTTATATATTTCAACATGGTACATAACAATTCAAGAGATAATTAAAAGATTAGAACAGTCAATCATTGCAAATAATCACATAATAAACTACAATTCCACAAGAACCCATTAAAACTATTTAGTATTAAAATTAATGATACATGGAATCTCATACCCTAGCAAATAGTTGTACAATGAATAATGAAAAATCCATACCATAATGAAAATAATGAAAAATTCATAAACAATAAACATGTTATAGTTTAGATTTCACTTGTTTAGGGCCAGATTTTACAATATTATCCTACCTGTGTGGCCACCTTCTGCTGTATTTTGACTGAAATGTATTTTCAACTCTTATTCAAGATGGGATAATTGATTGTTGTCCAAAGAGCCTTAGGATGCTCATTCCATAGTCTAGAAGCAGGTTCTGGAAAACCCCAAGTCACAAGGTCTCAGGGGAAGTAAGTCCCAACCCGAAGCACTTGTGAACCTCGCTGAACCACCTGAACATGTTGTATCAAAAAATAAGAGATGATGCAGGATCGGGTCATAAGACCCTTAGAAATAAAACCAACCATTTGAGTGTGTTGCGCCTTTGTTCTTACAGGAAGCCAATGAATGAAATATTTGTCAAGGAAATCTCTCAAATCAATTCTAGCAATATCACTTGCTTTAAGCCAAATTAATAATCTTTTTTTTCTCTCTGATTTTTTTTTGGGGGGGGGGTGGGAGGATTTTTAAGTTAAGGAAATTGGAAGAGCAAGAAGGAACAAGGAGAAGGAATAAGCAAGGCGGACCAAGGAGAGCCAGTTTGGTCTACTATAGGGATGTCAAATTGGCGGCCCATGGGCCGGATGTATCACACATAGGCCACACCCACCCCAGCTCTGCAAAGGCAAAAAAATGTCATGATATATCACATGATGTGATCAAATTTGACACACATGATCTAGGAGTTAAGGCATATATACATACATAATTGTCTTTTCAGGAACTGGAGCCAATGCAGCAGGAGGCTAGAGTAAACCTTTGCTCTCCTTATTTTCTTCCAATATGATGGAATGTTAAAGGAAAAAAACAAAATGTGGTATACTGGGGAACTTTACTTCATATCTGATCCAATCTCTCATCTTGATATTCCAGAGGCTACAAGGGAGATTAATCTCAAAGTAATCCTCTCTTGGGTTCAGACGAAACAGATTTTCCAGAGTCAGCTACCAGTAAGTAGCCCAATGGCAAATTTGGAAACAAGGTGTGTCATTAACACATTTCACCTCATTTTATCCATAAAAATGGTCAATGACCTGCCTTAGTAAATTGTAGGTACCTGAGTTAAGCTTCCGAATCCTGGTTTGTTTGATCATAGTTAACAGAATACATCACAAGTTGCTCGGTTTAAGCAACATGTACTAAGCCAAAAAAAAAAAAGTATATCTTACAACCCACATTATAGCAGAAAAGTGAGAAACCCATGTCCAAAGTCAACCCCAACTTGAAGGCACCATTTTAAAAAATGGCTGCCGTAATAGGTGTAGCAAGTCATAAAACAACTTATTACTACACTGTAAGGTCCCCATTAACCCTGTTTAGTGTTACCTGTACTGGGGAGCCCATTTCCAATCAAAGCATTGGAGCATAGTTGCATATTATTTCCCTCGCCCCAAGAAATGCCCAGGGCACATTTTGATCAATAAAAAAAGTTAAGAGGCTAGTTCAGCACACCTATTTTTTTATTATTTTTGATTATTATTATTTTGATTATTATTTTTAAAAAACAAAAACTATTTAAAAAAACAAAACAAAGAGCACTAGCTCCCAAGCAGTTACCTGGAACTCTGCCCCCAGGGTGCTCCATGGCCCTAGACTAAGGAACAAATTCTGTTGGCTCCTCAAGTCTCACCCTGCGTTTCTACTCCTATTTTAAAGTCCTTTCTCCTCAGCATCTCAAGACTAGCACCTCCAGCGCCAGGCAAGATGCGCCGCTGCAACGGCCAACCTCCCTGGCCTCGTCGCCCCGCCGTCTTTTCCCAAGTCCCTACCTGGTGCTTCCCGAACTACAGCTCCCAGGATGCGCCGGTGATTTCTCCCCTCAAGCCAGTGAGCTGGGGGAGAGTTGATGTAATGCGGTGAAGTCACAAAGCCCTTGGGGATGGGGGAAGAGAGCGAAGGGGGGGAGGGAGGAGAGAGAGAGAGAGAGATGCACGATGGTGGCTGCAAGAGCAGAAGCGCCTGCCACGCTACCGCGGCGCTCGGGAGAGGCGTGAGGAGGAGGAGGTGGGGGGGGGGGATAGATAAATAAAACCTGGCTTCATTTAGCAGCCCACCCGCCCGTCCGCCAAGCTTCGAAGCAGCGGCAGGTCTCCGGGCGAGGCAGCTGAAGCGCCGGGACCGCGGCCTCTCCCTATTCTTTTCGCCCAAGAAGTGGCCCAGGTCTGGAGACGCTCTCTGCCTTCCGCCCAGCCTGGAAGTCGTGAGGAGCCGGGAATGCCTCGGCGGCGCCGCTTTTTCCTTCTCCTTCTCCTCTGACCGGGCTCGGCTCCCTCCTTCGGCCCATGGCTCCCCGCCGCTAAAATAACGACAGCTCCTCCCGCCCACCCGCCTCCTCCAAAGGTGGTGTTGCGTTGTGGGTTTTTTTTTAATTATTATTTTTTAAAAAAAAACCTCCCCGAGGTGGGAAGAAAGGTGTCCGCCGCCCCCGCCCAACCAGCCGCGCGCCCTCGGTCCGCCGACGCCGATCCGCCCCGCTTGGCCGTCGAGATGGCGGACCCAGCCGAATGCAGCATCAAAGTGATGTGCCGGTTCCGACCCCTCAACGAGGCGGAGATCCTGCGCGGGGACAAATTCATCTCTAAATTTAAAGGCGAGGACACGGTCGTCGTCGGGGTAAGTCTCTCTACCCCTCTCCGCCCCCCCCCCGGGCCGCTTTTTGGCGTTTGCTTTTATGCAGTTGCATTTTGTCTTTTCTTTGCTCGGCTCCGAACTCTCTTCTTTCGGGCAGGCTACGGGGAGACCTGGCGAATTTGTCTCTCCCCCCCCCTCATCTCCAAGTCCCTTTAGGTTTACTCCGGGCCCCCCTGAATGGCGTGCCGCTGCACCGCATTGTACTCCCTCCTCCGTCCATTGTTCCCAACATTAGCTGCTCTAGTGTGTGTGTGTGTGTGTGAGAGAGAGAGAGAGTGAATGTCGGTTGGAAGTTCTCCAAGACTTCTTTCACCTTGAGCACCAAATTTGGCTAAGAGAAGGATGGGGGGGGGGGGGAAAGGAAACTCTCTGTACTGCCTGCTTTACCCCCCTCCCCCCGTCCCAACCCCGAACTTGGAAATTGGGTTAAACTCACAAAGGACAAGAACTCTGTTTTCCATAGCAGGAATGAAAAGCTTTGGATAAGAAGTGGGTCTACGTGGCAGGTGTTTCTAAAAACAAATGGGTTTTGTGGTGCAGTGTGAAATAACTTGGGTGTTTCGGATGGGTGCAAAGTTTCCTTGTTTTGGTGTGAGCGTGGGTCTAGAGACAGTCACAAAGAGTCGTGTGGTGCAAAGAATAATCTTTATTGGGGCCCCAGTATTTGTAGTATACAACCACGCTGGGAGATGCTCAAAGTATTCTTGGTTTGATGGGTTTGATGGAGCTGGATATCAGTGGGGGAATGTGTCATGTGAAACACACGTTTCTAATGTTAATTTCATTTGCACATTTTACTGAATTATTTAAGGTTTCAGTAAAGTCCAGAATGAGTTCCACTGAAACTCAGCTTATTTATGAGTAGACATAGCTTGGATTGCATTGGTAAACAGCAGGGTGAAGGCCAACGCATGGGCAAAGTATATTCTACATACTGATTTGGATGACTTCTGCAGGGGGGAATCTTTCTTGAAAAGTGCTCCAGAGCTGAATTTCCTGCTTTCATAATTGCAGCAAAAGCACCGGTGGGGAACTGAAGGGAGTCAGCCTCAATTGACTCTTTCATCTGCCTTCCCTCATTGCTACTGCAGTCTCCAATCCTGAGCATTGATCAAGCTGATGTCATCTGGATCACTGGGCATGCTCATTTGCTTGTTCCCTGACGTATTTAATGGATTGGCAGGTGGAGAGAAATTGCTGAGCAAATTACAAGAGGGTAGAATAATTCCCTCCTTCTCACCTTCATATCCACCCTTCTGCCATTTCAGCTTGATCTGGTGCCTTGTGTCGGATCAGCACTAACTTCAGTTAAAAGCCTGCCAAGCTGCAGTCTCTGCAGATAAAAGCAGGATGTATATACTCTATCCAGTGATAGTCTTTAGTTGTCTGCTATGTTCATTTCCTTGTCTTGCAGTACAATCAATGGAGAATCTCCTTCTCTTAGGAGAAATTCTACTTCTTATCAGCTCATGTAATTTGGATTAACAGCCTTGGCTAATAGTGTTAATTTGTCTGAAATATGCTGGAGGAACTTTTGATTTTTGATTTTATTTGTTAGAATTGGTAGCATCCCAATAGGTAAATAATGGGCTTGTTGTGTGAATCATTTAATCCGCTACTACAAATTAAAACAACTATAAGTCTCACTTCAAGTTCGAATGAGATGATTAGTAATGGAAAGATTACTTTTTGGAAACTTGTTTTGTCTTCTTGGTAATGCATAGTTATATGTGCATAAGAAAATGATTGCTCTCTTAATGTATTGCGGTATATGCTAGAGAACCTTTAGATTGGTTTCACAATTTCATTTTAACCTGGATGCAGTTTGCTTTTTCTTGAGCCACTAGTAATTGAAAATTTGTAGCCAACATTTAACCTCCCATTTCAAAGGAACTCTATAGACTTACAAAAAACCACAATGGTATTTCTTTATTTTTATTTATTATTAAATCTCTTTGCCACCCATCTCACAGTGGGGCTTCTCTGGTCAGTATTGTGAGGTATAGTTTTAAAATGTGCATTCAGGGGCATCAAAAGTATTAGGTATTGTTAAAAGTAATGGCTGCGCCTATCATGCTTAGAGAGTTTTGTAACCTTTGGCAAAAACCCAGGGCTGATTTAAAAGAAAGGAAAAAAAATGTCCTTGTCTCCCAAAGTAGAATCTGGAGACATTCACTATAGCTATAAATTTGGGAGACTTTGGGCTAACTGTAACATTTTTTATACAACATGTAATTAAAATGTCTTCACGTGTCATGACAGCTGCCAATTTAGACAGTTTTAACAAGGAACTAAAGAAATGAATGGAAGATAAATTTATCTGTCGCTGGTAAGTTTGATAGCTTGCATGCCTTAACTAACAGTTGCTAGAGTTCATCTGTGAAGGGGGATTTATCAGTTTTTCATCCATTCATGAACCCCAGAGGCTGAGCTGGCTTGCTTCTGAGCGAATCTAAATAGGCTTTTGACACAACCGAAGGTTGGGACATTTAAATGGTCTGTTGGATAGTCCTACTGCAGTGTTTCTCAACCTTGACAATTTTAAGGCATGTGGACTTTAACTCCCAGAATTCCACAGCCAGCATTGCTGGCTGTGGAATTCTGGGAGTTGAAGTCCACATGCCTTAAAATTGTCAAGGTTGAGAAATATTGTCCTACTGAGTCAGTGATAACGTGTGCAATAAAGTGTTTTGCTGGTAGAGGACAATATTTGTAGCTCAGGCTTGAAATGAGGGGTCCTTGGTGCTCTATGTGCTTGGTTGTTTTGTTGAAGTGCACTGATGATGTTACCTTAGTTTGGATAATGAAATGTCTGCAAGAAAACAACCAAGCTCAGAGAACACCAAGGGCATTCAAAGTATTTTTTGCTTAATCTTATGATGTGAAAACCTAGTTCCTGCCCCATTGAAGGAGTCCTTTTAAAACCATCTGTCCAATTCAAGTGTGGTTTGTTTTTCTCTCACGTTAGAATATATTTGTTATTTTATATTCTGGTTATCTAGTAAAGAGATAGATTTCTATTCTTTCTATTAAGCATTTGTTCATCACAACCAGTTTAAACATTTGTATTAACTCTTCACCCCTCTTTAGTTTACAATTAATGATCTTTTCGTCCCATCTGCTATTTACACACAAATTCATAAAGCATAATCTTTTCAGTCCTACTGTCAGCAGGAAGTCCATTAAGGGTTACTAGAAATAAAAACACATTTTAACCTTCATAAAATAAACCAACTTTATGATCCTTTTTATTTTTAACAGTTGTAATCTTTAGTCTGTTCAAATAATATCACAGAATTTGATTTCATTTCTTTTTTGTGCCTTTTCACAAGATTCTTCAAAGCCTTAACCAAGCCTCTTTTGTAAATCCAATATATAAAATATCCAGGTCAGTTTTTTAGTTTATTATTTCATTTTCCATTTTGATTTTTAAAACATCAACTGGTTTCTTTTGTATGCTTAGTATGATATCCTTTTCTATGCTTTCATATAAGCATAGGTTCCATGCTTATAACCTGTCTTTGGAGATCTACTTTTGATGCCATCTCTGCCTTAACAAATAAAACTTGATCTTCATCTGCTTTTTCTTTCATTACATCTTTTGGCTATAGTCTATCCATAGAAGCAAACATCACTATGATACTAAGTTCTAATTCCATTTTTCAAAAGTGTCATTCATTCAATGTTATGTTTGGTATCATTTTATATATCACAATTAATTAGCTGTTATTGTATTTTTTCTCCTTTAACTAAAATCTTTAGTTCCTTCTAGTGACCAATTTTTAAAATTACTTAACTTTGTTTTGTCTTGCAAATGTCCAAACAAATATTTTTCCATGGGAAGGATTCTTTATGATTAATTCCAAAATTGTATTCCTTATTTATCTGGACCTTTAATCCATTTGTAACTTTCTAGGATCGAAGTGTTATTTAGCTTTTTGCTGTTTATTTTTTTTCCAAATTATTACAATTTTCTTTCACTAAGGATTGAAGTAAAACTTACCTATTTTTAGACTTTTTGAGCAAAAGCCTTCTAATATGTTAAAAGTAGCTAACAAGCAATTTACAAATGTAATTACGGTCAAAGTTTGCGAACTTAGTGTGCTTTAGAAAATGCCAACCACAGTTGTGAGTAAGATGGCTATTCCCATCTCCCAGTGTTTGAAGCCTGCTGGGGATTGCTGTCTTGCAGTTTACTTGTAAGGAGCATATGTTTGGAGCGCATGTGGATGATCTCCCATCCTCTCCTTATCCAAAATGGTTCAAAATAACTGTTGTTGTCATCTCCACTTTTCATAGAGCTGACTTCTGTCCTCATTTTTTTCCTCTCTTAGGTTCAACTTTTGCGGGATAAAGGAATTTATTTATTCCTTTTCATGGAGTAGATAATAATGTTTGGATTTTCTTTTGCCCTGTTTGCTTTAGCCACCTTCCCACTTCTAACTTTACAAGCAGGCCTGCCATGCTGTATTTAGGAACATGTCACTTATATTTGGCTCCTTTTTCTGACCTAGTTATCATCCCTGCTTCCTTATCTAACATTTATTGCTGTCTCTCCTCTTCATTCTTTAGCATTAATTTTCACTTGCAGCTTCTTCAATTTATAATGTAATTATGCTCCTACCTCTTAATCTATTTCTTGTTTATATATAATTATCTTTTTTCCTGATAGAACAGTACAATTATTTTGAATTTTGGTTACATCAGAGACGGTTCCTTTTCATACCATTATTTTCTGGCAATGCATGTTGGGTGAATTTGATGCTCAGTTGCAGAAGTTAAAATCTTCTGGTCAGTTCCAGTAAATCAGGAGTGTCAAACTCACAACATCACGTGACATATCGCGACGTATCATGACTTTTTTTCCCACTGTCAGCAATGGGCTGGGTGCGGTTTCGCCATGAAGCATCCGGCCCATGGGCCGGCAGTTTGACACCCCTGTAGTAAATGGTCTAATTTTTTAAAAAAAAGATTGTTTAAAT